ACCTGGTTTTAATAGCAACATTGTCTTAAGTGCTTATGCCGATGACATTGTTGTTTTTATTAAAGACCAGAGGGATGCAGATATTTTAACCAACATTATAAAACGTTTTAGCGTAACATCGGCAGCGAGGGTGAATTGGATAAAAAGTGAAGCCCTCGCTGTCGGTGAGTGGCGTGACGGTCTCCCAGTTCTTCCCCAGAGCTTGGCCTGGAGAACAGATGGCTTTAGGTACCTGGGGGTTTTCCTCGGGAAAGAACACATAGTCCAGAAGAACTGGGAGACTGTCACAGAAAAAATTGAGGGGAAACTTTCCAAGTGGAAATGGCTGCTCCCTCAAATGTCTTTTAAAGGTAGAGTATTGGTTTTAAACAACCTTGTAGCATCCCAACTGTGGCACCGTTTAACCTGTGTAGATCCCCCTTCAGGCTTGCTAGCCCAGCTACAAAAGAAAATGGTAGATTTTTTTTGGGATGGTCTACACTGGGTGCCACAAGGGGTGCTGTTTTTAGCCAGGGAGGAGGGGGGACAGGGCCTTGTCCACCTGGCCAGCCGGACAGCCACCTTCAGACTACAGTTCTTGCAAAAATATCTGACAGGTCCGGGAGAGATGTGGCCAGCTGCATTCTCAGACGTGCAGATTTCCTGGGGCTGGATGCGGCTCTGTTCTTAATTGATTCTAAACTTTTAAAATTAAGTGGGCTGCCTCCGTTTTATCAGGGTGTTTTTAAGTCTTGGGCCCTTTTTAACTGTAAAAGGTGCCCAAAGTCTGACTCTCTGTACTGGTTGTTGAGAGAACCATTGATTCACAGGGCCAAGCTGGACATCAGCAGCAGCGTCACCCCCGGCCTCACGGTGGCGCTGCTCAAAACCAAGACCCTGTGCCTGCAGCAGCTGGTGGATGCAGTGGGGCCGGCGCTGCGTGATGCCCGGGCCCTGGGCTCTCTTCTGGGCCTGCACTCTGTCCGGGTGGCGGGGAGGCTCCTGGAGCTGTGGCGCCAGAAGCTTTCGGGGAAAGAGAGGAGCCTCCTCATGGACTATGGTAAAAGAAAGGCCAGACCGGACCCTGCAGACCCCTTCCCTGAAGTCTTCCTGAGCCCAGGCCTGGGGGAGCTCACCGGCCCCCTGCTGGCTATAGCACACCCAGAAAAGCTGACGATAAACAAAGCTGACAAAAAAACCTGGTACATGAACTGTGTGAAGGCGATCCACAAGGCCGGACTGTGCAACCGCCCCCCCACTGTGTGGTCAAACAGGCTGGGAGCGAATGGAGCCGGCCCACAGTGGAGGATTTTATATAAACCTCCCATCAAAAAACGGACTGCCGACCTCCAGTGGAGGATTTTACATGGTGCTATTGCCTCCAATGCTTTTCTTTCTGTTCTTAATCCTGCTGTTCTTAACACCTGTCCTTTTTGTTGCCTTCCAGAGACTGAATGTTTTTATAGAGTGTAAGAGGCTCACAAGCTTCTTCTCTCTTTTAACATTGGTTTTTAGTTTTTTTGATGTGGTTTTTACTGAGAGGGTTTTTATTATGGGAGCTGCCTACAAAAAAGAACAAAAAGATAAGTGGCAGCTCCTTAACTACCTTTCAGGTGAGGCAAAAATGGGTATTTACATCAGCAGAAAAAACAGAGTGGAGAACAGAGAAGGGCAGGAGGCCAAAGCAGTGTGGCTGATAAACATTAGGCGAGACTCTGGCTAGATTTTAGATTTTATAAACACATTGGAGACTTGGACGCTTTTAAACAGCGCTGGTGTTTTAATGACATAATTTGTTCAGTTGTTGATGAAGAATTAGTTTTTATCAGATAAATTATTTATTTTTTTAAACATACTCGGATTTTAATGCACTAGCACTTTGTTGAACAGTTGAACTGTAAAAACTAAAATTATGTAAATAAAGTGTTTTGCAAAAATCAAAAAAAAAATCTCTGTCTCTCTCTCTCTCTCTCTGTCTCTCTCTCTCTCTCTCTCTCTCTCTCTCTCTCTCTCTCTCTCTCTCTCTCTGTCTCTCTCCCTCTCTCTCTCTGTCTCTCTGTCTCTCTCTCTCTCTCTCTCTCTCTCTCTCTCTCGCTGTCTCGCTCTCTCTCTCTCTCTCTCTCTCTCTGTCTCTCTCTCTCTCTCTCTCTCTTTTGACCACTCCTCTTTTTTTTAAACGACTCTCTGACATTTCACTGATGAAGTGTTGGGTTTCATCTCTGGGCTGTTTTTTTTAATTTTTTATTGTAATTATTTGATAATAAAAAAACAATATTTTGATAAATAAATAAAAAGCTGCTGTGTTTTGTGTGAATCCTGTTTGACTTGACGTTCCAGTCTGCACCACAGGGGGGCGCCAGAGTGTGACTGTCTCAGGGTTAAATATATATCCTGTCTTTATTTATTGACTCATTAGTTTATCACTGTTGTCCTTAAACTGAGCTTTTTATCTGTCCCGTGTGGGTGTCATTACCCAAAGAGACCACACGAGGGGGTCAGCGTGCCAGCTCTGTGTGTTTGTTATTTCTGATGTTCTTCATCTGATGTTTGTTTGTAAATGTATTCATGGTCGGGGTGGACTGTGGAACCTAATTCCCCTGTAAGTCTAAATATTCATTCTGGAGTTAATTAAACATTTTATAGTCCTGACATAGTGGATGAAGGATTCCCGGCCCGAGTTAGAATCTGACCTGTAGCTCCTTCCTGCATTCCTGTATCATTTAAACTACTGAGCTAACGGCTCGTCTTAAAGCTGCCTGTCCCAAAGAAAAGAAGAGTCATTTCATAGACTGAAGTCAGGAAAGCCCGGGCCACACACACACACACACACACACACACACACACACACACACACACACACACACACACACACACACACACACACACACACACACACACACACACACACACACACACACACACTCATGTCAGAATGAGAACACGAGCTGCAGATCTTTGCACCAGATCAGAGAGAATTCAAACTCACGACAGACTGTGACCTTCTTCTGTAGCTTCAGTTGACATGGAAATGGAAGTTTTGCAGCTGTGTGTGTGTGTGTGTGTGTGTGTGTGTGTGTGTGTGTGTGTGTGTGTGTGTAGCTGCAGGTGTGTGTGGTGAGCACACAGAGAGATGTGCTCTCTGCTCTGTGACCACATCCTCTCCTCTCTGCTCGCCTGCAGCTTTCACGTCTCTGACACAGCTCACACTTCCTGTTGTTGTGTGCTACGCTCACACACACACACACACACACACACACACACACGTGTACTTCTTACTGAACCAGTTTGAACCAATGGAAATACTTTTTTTTTTAACTCTTCATCAGAATGTAAACTGTCATAAGATTCTTATTTTGTTTGGTCAAAGTTTAAAAATAGAAAAACATCTGAATACTGTGCACCAGATGTTGGAATAAAGACAAGGATGTAAGGTCCAGGTCCAGGTCCAGGTCCAGGTCCAGGTCCAGGTCTAGGCTAAGGTTCAGGTTCAGGTGACTTTATCTGTACTCGTAGATAGATTTGTTAACAGCAAGCAAACTTGACATCCATCATGACACACAGATTAACAAATTGATGTAACAAGGAACAAGACACAAGAGGAGGAGAAATATTTAAAACCAAAACAGAAATTGAAAAGTGCTCGATGTTCCACCTATCAGGACATAAAGGAGAGAGAAATCTCAACTAATGGGGTCGAGAAAAAAACACAAATGAATTAATAATCTCATTAAGAACACATCAAAACATTAAAGACATGAAAAAGACACCGAGGCAGGGACGCCAAGCTCTCCCTCACTGCAGGTCACTGCAGGTCACATGACTCAGTTAGCTGAATGGAAAATGATACAAATAAATCAGCTCCTGAAGTTTCCTGAGCTGACGTGTTTCAGCATCATGTGGGAGAGAAATAACAGATTTCTGAGAAAAGAGGGAGATAAAGCGAGCAGCTAAAAATACCTCCCACTGTGGAAACAAAGATGCTCGGCGTGGGAGGAGGTGTGAGAGCGAGGACAAGAAGACTGAGAAAGTACGACTTATCTGTCCACTTGTTCTGGTTTAGAGCCTGCTGAGTTATAGATCATGTTTGATTAATGTTGATTTTTAGGCCGAGAGGTAGAGTCAGTATCTTTAAAAGTGTCTTTAGTTTGTTACTTCTGGTCAACAGTAGAGCGGCCTGGGAGACGTAGGAGGACATGTCTCTGATCATTTGTGTCTCTGTGTGTGAAGAGGCTGTGAGGAGAGACAGTTTCTCTGTTTGAATAACTTCTGTTAGATGGAAGAATTTGAGTCTGTAGGAGTTTTTCTGTGCGTGTGTCCGACCTGAATAAACTTTAATTTCTGCATCCTGTTTGTGGATCAACTTTAACACTGCAGAGATCCAGAAGAGCAACAGCTCGAGAGAGACGGGAAATGTTGGAGCCAGCTGGGTATAAATCACATAAAACCTTCATTCTCTTTATTTGTTTTGTTTTGAATCTCAATTTTCTATTTTATCTTTCATAAAAAACACTTGTTAAAAAACAAAAATGTTCTCTCCATTTTAAACTTCTTATTTTTATTGCTCCAAGGCCACCGTACATCCCCCTCTCTGAGAAAAACTCAATCAACTTTTATAAATTATCAAAGTTTCAAGAAAATCTCATAAAGTCACTCACGTGATGTACGATGTGTCCTTGGGCAAGCGATTGACCCCATGTTGCTCCCACTGCTTTATCATCAGTGTGTGAATGTGTATGAATGGATGAGTTAATACTGATGGACTCTTTACTCAGCAGCCTCTACCATCAGTGTGTGAATGTGTGTGAATGGATGAGTTAATACTGATGGACTCTCAGCAGCCTCTACCATCAGTGTGTGAATGTGTAGGTGTGACCTGCAGTGTAAAAGAGCTTTGAGGAGTCCGAAGACGAAAAAAGAAATAAAGAAGCTCGATTATAAACCTTTGTATTTAAATAATGAATCTTAATCTTGATTTTTTTAAACATTTCATCGAGACAAAAAAGAAGCAAGCAGTCAAAGAATTGAAGTAAAGTCTGATAAGTCTTTATTAAAGATGACACATTTGAATATAATTCTCGTACAGAGCAGAAAGAAAAGACGTGAAGTTTTCAGTGACAGAAGGACAGAAAGAAAGAAAGAATAAAACACGACACATCTTTGTAACTCTGAAGTGTGATAAGATGGATCATGTGTGCAGCTCTGGTCTGATCGTAGCTCGTTCTTCACGTCTGTTTTTAAAGGTATCGTTGTGATTTTCTTTGATGACGTTCAGAGTGAAGCGTCTGTGAAGGACGATCTTTAAAAAAAAAGAAAGATATTTTTTGGGTCTTTTTGCTTTTATGAGAAAGAACAGCTGAAGAGAGAGGAGGTCAGAGGTCGGATTCAAACCCACGGCCGCTCGCTGCGACGAGGACACAACCTCCGTACATGGGGCGTGCAACATGACCGCTAGGCTATATGGCGCCCCGAAGAACAATCATTTTAAAAGTAGCTTGAAGATTAAAGGTTTGCTAACTTCATACACAGACATGAACACTGAGCAGATTTCCCAGAATCCTCTTGTGAGGCGTCGGCTCTGCTCTCAGTTCTTCTGCTTCGCCCCCTGGAACAAACAGAAAGAACACCACGTCTTTATTATTCAACTCACAGATCCCAAAGCGGTCAGAGGAGAGGATTTAAACTGGAGCTCACCTGAAACTTGAGCAGCAGAAAAGCTACAAACGCTCCGTAGAAACAGCTCTTCACGATGAACACGCTGTACGTCAGTTTGGCGCTCTGCGTGACCTTCAGATATTTGTCTGAAAGAGTTCAAACATGGAGATGAGATTTAAAGAAGGAAACATTCAGTTTATATGAGTTCTATGATCATCACAGTGTAGTAAGACGTTTACCTCTGGTGATGGTTTTTCTTTCAGCTGTCAGGAGAAAAGAGACGAGAATCAGACGAGGAAACATGTCGCTGTGTTTGTTTTTCTAACAGATGAAGAATCAGATTATTACCTTCTATTCCTTTAACTGAAGCAGAGTAAGGGACCGTTTTGTCCCCGTCAAAGAAGTGGACGGTGCAGGTGAATTCATTGTCAGGATTGTTCCACTCTTCAGCAGAGACCCTCAGCCTGCTGCTCATCATGTAGGTCTTTCCTTCTTCCAGCACGGCCTCGCTGTCCGTCGCCACACCTGAGCTGACCTCGCCCTCTTTGTCGGTCCAGGAGAAGCTGACATGATCCGGGTAGAATCCACTGGCCACACAAACGATGGTCTTACTCTGGTGTCCACACTCCTTTGGAGAAGCTGGGAGAACTCTGACTGTCGGTGGAGTGACCTTAAGTCCTTCTTCTGCAAAACACAGAGGACAGAAATCAGCGAGTTAAAGCTGCAGACGGATCCACAACAAACCTCAAGAGTCACACCTCACTCCAGTGCAGAGGTGTCTCTTACTTAAGTAGACATTTTGGGTATCTATACTTTACTGGAGTAATTCTTTTTCAGCAGACTTTTTACTTCTACTCCTTACATTTTAAAAATAGCCTTGTTACTCCTATTTCATTTCAGCTTGTTTTCACTCCGGCTTGTCATCCTTCAAAAACCTATCCAGATCAATCGCGCCGTCCTGATAGAGTGAATTTGATTGTGGTTGGATGAGAAGTATAAACATATACCATTCCTACACGCTGTGGTGCGGCCTAAGCTTTTGTCCTTAATGGCATTTTTTCCCCCTTACATTACTTTAACTTTTATACTTTAAGTAGTTTTGAAACCAGTACTTTTACACTTTGAGTAAAAAGCTTGAGTTGATACTTTAACTTCTACAGAAGTCTTTTTAAACCCTAGTATCTATACTTCTACCTGAGTAATCAATGTCAATACTTTTGACACCTCTGCTCCAGTGTGCGTCTGAGGTCTTCAGAGCCGAGTGAGGACGTGAACATCAGGGTGCAGAAAGACACAGAATCACTCTGAATCAAACATGATGCTCACAGTGAGCAGATCTCACACTCAGAGGGATTTATATATCAACATATTTTTACATGAATATTCAGTTTGTGGCTCTCACCCAGGACTTTTAGTTTGGTTCTGTCTCCAAAAGAAGCAGGAGAAGAGTCTGAACACAGCAGGAAAACTGACTCTGATCCACTAACAGCTGATTTCATGTCTCTTTACACAACAGGAACCAAACTCATGGACTGGTTTCTGTAGTTTAAAAACATTTCTTCTCTCACTTTTTTGGAGTGAGGAATAAAATACTGAGAGTTTAACCTTCTCTTTATCGTCTGTGCAGACGCTCACGAGGGCGAGGCAGAGGAGAGTAAAATAAAGTTGAAGTTCTTTTTGAAAAGAAAAAGATGATTCTTGTTGTTTAGCATTTGGAGAATAAGTTTTAACTTTCAGGAGAACAACTATGATTCTTTATTGTGTAACATTTCAGCTTCATTTCTGACGCTTTGACGCCACACTTCATATCAAGACTTTATTCTCTAACCGTGTGGTTGAAAACGTTTTCCTCCTCTCCCTCTTTTCTTATTCCTCAAGTCAAAATATCTCATCTCCTCTGCCTCTGATTGGAGAAACCTTCCTGATATCATTTAGTTTCTTCTTCCTGGAACCTATTAAAGAAAATATTTATTTTCAACCTTTCATTTGTGACATTTTGACTTCAGACTCAAGAATTGATCCTCCATCTTCCTCCTCTCGCACGCTTGACCACAACAATCCTTCTGAACATCTCCAGCAGGTCAGAGGTCAGAGGTCAGAGTTAAAGGCTGATCCTGATCTCATTATTTAAAAAAAACTTAAATCAGAAGTTTACGCTACAGGCACCCTGGAGATTCTCTTTAAACACATGCTCTGAATGTGTCTCTCTGCAGCGGTATCATCAACTAATGTGAGATCATAGAAGATGAGATTAAAAATGTACTGATCCAACAAACAGAAAGATTCAACGTTTAGAGAAACATGCTGCATGAATGATCTGACAGTTCCAGAGCAGATTACAGGATGATTGTTGTAAATGTAGTTTTGTTAATTTACAGGAAAATACCGAGCAGAAAGTATAAAGTTCTACATTTGACAGTATGTAAATCTACATGTTCATTTTCTTTGGTAGCTTTTCTGCAAACTATCTCAGCAGGACGTGAGCGCTCCAGGAGATCAAGAAACAAAACATTATAAGACATCTTTAAACCACCCTGACTAAAACATCGTTCTCTTAGAGTTTCAATAAAACATCACGAGGTGTGTGTGATTATTTTTGTCATTTTCTTACCTAAAACGCTGAGTTTAGTTCCAGCTCCAAAGTAAGCAGCATCGAGGTTGTTCACACTGAAACAGAGCTGCAGAGAAACTGCTCGACCTCTGAGCTGCACAAACTTCTTAATTTAAGATCCTTTTAAGAGAATGAGATCAGAACCGACCTTTGACCCTGACCTGGACCAGTTACAGACTTTAGTTTGATGATATATTCTGTTGTTTTTAAGTCGTCTTACCTAAAACGCTGAGTTTAGTTCCAGCTCCAAAGTAAGCAGGTTGGTTGTTGTTCACACTGAAACAGAGCTGCAGAAAAACCTCCTCGACCTCTGAGCTGCACGCCGTCTCTGACATTAAACTTCTGATTTAAGGTTCATCTCAGACTATTAGATCCAGAACCGACCTTTGACCCTGACCTGGACCAGTTACAGACTTTAGTTGGATGATATATTCTGTAGTTTTTGTGATGCTCTTACCTAAAACGCTGAGTTTAGTTCCAGCTCCAAAGTAAGCAGGATTGTAGTTCACACTGAAACAGAGCTGCAGAAAAACCTCCTCGACCTCTGAGCTGCACGCCGTCTCTGACATTAAACTTCTGATTTAAGATCCTTTAGGAGCATGAGATCAGATCCGACCTTTGACCCTGACCTGGAGGAGTTACAGACTTGATGATATATTCTGTCCTGTTTCTAGTCGTCTTACCTAAAACACTGAGTCTGGTTCCCGCTCCAAAGTGAGCCTCTGCCTGGTAGCTCACAGCGTTTCACAGAGCTGATAAGAACTCTGTGTGAGAGGAATAATCCGGGCTCACAGCCAAATGTTTGATTTATGCTCTCAACGTTTACAGCAGAACAAAACGCCATGCTGCTTTTTTGACATGAACACACAGTGAGCAGAAAGTCCTTCACATGTTTGAAAAAGAGAGGACTCTGTTCATGGTCACACACGAGCTCTAACAGTACACTTATTAAAGCATCTTAATGAGGACACCTGGAGAGAACCAGTGAGTTCTGCTCTGTTTGAGGCTTTTCTTACCTAAAACAGAGAGTTTAGTTCCAGCTCCAAAGTAAGCCTCGCTGTAGGAGCACAGAGACTTTCCACCCTCACAAAAACTCTCTCTGCTGCTTCTTTTTTATCTGCTCTACTTAAAATGATCCCAACTGTTTCCCTCTTCACATATAAAGACCTCACAGCCTGCAGCTAGTCAACCTCTACGTCCCTTATCTCCATCTTTGAAACATCTATTCATGTCTTTGTTATTTTGTGAATATTTCATCAACTTATGAGTCACATGTTTGTCTTTAAGAGTCGTTTGAGACGCTGCCTCTACTCTGCTTCTTCACATTTAGTTACCTTTAAAAAATCTTTCCACTACAACAGTCTTCTCTTTTTGCATCCTAACGTCTGTCTCAGGAGAAGAGTTCAACAAAACGTCCTTTTACTCACCGAGAACAGTCAGTTTAGTTCCTGCACCGAAGTACGCTTCGTACTGACACAGCGTTCAAGGTGAATGTCAAAAAGCTGCGAGCTGACACTGAACGAGTTTGTTCTGCAGACTTTCATCACAGACTGTTCATGTTAAGAATGAGTTCCTTACCTAAAACAGTGACCCGTGTCCCTCCACCAAAGTGAGCCTCTGAAGAACCAGAGTCACAGTGAAGTCGTCTGTGACTCAAAACAAACCAGACGCTGCTCCCTCCTCTCGTCTAGTTCAAATCTCACAAATGTTTCAATGCAAAGGAAGCAGCTCTCAAAGATCCTCTTCAAAAAACCAAAACACGGCTCTACTTTTACTCGGTTTAACTTCTTTTATGAGCTGAATTCAACAGTCTTACTCACCGAGAACAGTCAGTTTAGTTCCTGCACCGAAGTACGCTTCGTAATTAGCACAGCGCTGAAGCTTCATGTCAAAAAGCTCTGAGCTGAACTGATAATAACCCAAACATATCAGGATCCTGAGAACGTCTCATCACGTTTATCTTTGTACATTTATAAAGATCTGACTCACCTAAAACAGTCAGTTTAGTCCCCGGGCCGAAGTACGCCTCGTTGTTGACACAGTGCTGAATCTTAACGTCAAAAAGCTCCGAGCTGACACTGACCTTTGACCTGGTGTCTCTCTGTAAGTTTGATCTGCAGACTGTGTTTGCAGAAAGCTTCTCTTACCTAAAACATTTGTAACATCTGAATCATCCCAGACTCACCTAAAACAGTCAGTTTAGTCCCCGGGCCGAAGTACGCCTCGTTAGCGTTGTCACAGTGCAGAAACACTGAGCATCAAACTCTTCTTTCTTTCTCTGCCACACTAATCTGTAAGAAGCTTTGTCTCATATTTCCATCTATACTGAGTCTCTGCAGCAACATGAAATCCATCATAAGAGAGTGAAACACTGAAATATTTACCTAAAACTGAGAGTTTGGTTCCTGGGCCAAAGTAAGCAGGTTCAGTGTAGCTCACAGTGTCTCTGTTCAGCTCAATAATTCAGACTCTTCACTACAACATGTTTTGTCTTTGACTTGAAAACAACTTGTTCACTAGTTGAAGTCTGTTTAAGTGAACGTCAGTGATTAAAGCTCCAACTTACCCAGAACTGTGAGTCGTGTTCCCTCTCCAAAGTGAGCTTCAGTTCCAGTGTCACACTGAAAGTCTCCTCCAACAAAAAGTCACAAAAGGTCCCAGAATGTGCACGATGTCGCTCAGAGTGATGATCCAGAGGATGAAGGAGGTTTAAACATGCAGGATGAGCTTCAGAGAGTTCACATGAGTGTTGTTGTTTCTGAAGAGCAGAGAAAGAAAGATCCAGACTGTGAACATGTGAACTTAAAGATGTTAGAAACACCTTTTCCTGCAGGTTTCCTCTATATGAATGCACGCTGTGCTGCTAAAGCCTCCTGTCCTCTTGTCCACCTCCAGATTTCATGTGTTTCTGCTCTCCTGCAGCACGCAGCAGTCTGCTCACTGTGTGTTCATGGGAGGAGGTTTTTGTACGGCGGCTCCATAGGAATGTATCACCGTGGCTCCCTGTCCCCACGGTGAGAAAGCATCATACAAAAACCTCCAGCGTGTTAGTTTCTGTGCTCCTCCGTATCTCAGCCTCCATCTCGGTGAGCCTGGGAGAGCAGCTGTGCAGCTCTGCTGAGAGACGACGAGCCGGCTGCTGCTATTTCTGTGACAGCTAAGAAAAGAAGCTGAGGGAAGGAAGAGAGGAAACTGATGTTTGTTAGATTATCAGTGCTCAGAGGGAGGGACGCCTCTGCTGGTCACACCTCTTCATACAAACTGTCAGCTGTGAAGGAGGAAGACGGTTATTTCATGAGAATCACAATGAAGAGAACGATTCAGTTCAATTCAAAAAACTTTATTTGTCCCCGGGGGGCAATTCAAAGTCACACAGAGCAGTAAATTAACAACAGTGCAGGTAGACGAAACATTTTAAAACTAAAATATAAAGTGTCAATTTAAATACAACTTAAAGCTTAAACTTAACTTAAAATACAAAATATAAAAAGAGTAGATATAAGTGGACCGTGATTGGACTAACAGATGTAAACAGAACTAAATATATATATATATACCGAGCTATGTGCGAGTAGGTTGTGATTACACGACCCTCCACTTTGTGTCACAGTTTGGTGTCTTTGAGCTTTTTGTTTTTATGCCACCTCTCTGATTATTTTTTGTTTTCAGCAGCAGGTCGCTGTTTTCAGAGATTTAACATTTTGAAGGATGCATTACTCTATGTTTTTGCAGAAAACTGATCCCTGATATACATCAATTTATTACTCTGATGTACAGACATGCAGCTCTCTCTCTCTGCAGCCTGACATCAGTCACAGCTGCACTGATAGAGGTTAGCTGTGACTACAACAACCAAGCTCACTCTGTCTCTCCTCATCTGTCTTTTTCTGCAGATTGACAGTCTGCTCGCCTTTACTTGAAACCTCACATTCAGTGAGAAGACATTCATCTTATTAGAGCAGTATGTGGTCGAGTCACACGGCCTGACTTTAGCATCATCTTGAGGATGAACACAGAGCCTTTAGGACGGTCTGACAGCTAGCTTAGCAAGAAGCTGTCCTACATCTGAGTCTCCTGAATCTTCTTTCTTAAAGTCGAGTATCGACAACACACTGCAGTGACCTTAACCGCAGCTTGTGTTGTAATCCCCGATGCTGCCTTTAGAGGTCAGTGTATGTTAACCTCTACAACATAATGTCATAATGTCAGGCTGCACACAGAATTAAATGATATAGAAAATTTGAGAGTAGAACGTGGAGTGAAGAACAGTTCATGTTTGGATGTATTAGTGTGTGAACAGCTGCTCTCTTATCTGAACTCATCAGCTTTGAGGCGACACTGCTCGCTCACTTTGAATACACGAGACGATTTTATTTTCCTGCTGTTCAAGTTTATGTTCACAACTTTTTAAATGTTGTTAAAAAGAAGCCTTAATGTTGCACCGATCTTTAGGAGAAGACAGAAGTCCATTATTATGAAACTAAAATAAATACAAAGACACTGACAAAAGGAAACTCGAGTTTGTGGTACAAAATGTGTAGCCAGCTGATTTGCTTCTAAGCCTCCTATTGGCTAATCACACTAACACTGCCTGAAAGGCTTTATATGTGATGTTTTGATCCAGCAGATGTCGCCCTTGAGCACCAGCATGAAACCAAAACAACTTGCGCTGCATTGTTGTGTTAGCATGCTAATGCTAGCGATCTTTATTATGCTGGTATCTTCACACTGCATGTAAATTTACCTGAAATGAGCGTGATCTAGAAACACAGTTAAGCAGTGAGTACAGTATGTTATTCTTCTTTTCTCTAGTCCCTCAATTAAACAACTTTTATACACGAGGGGAGGAGTCAGCCGACCGTCCCGTCGATGTAAACAAAGTGAAGATAGGACTCTGAAAACTCTGAAAACATCACAGACAGTGGGACTCGGGTGTTACACCCATTGTAGACAGTCATGACTCACAGAGTTATTTTCAGAGGATTTATTTAAGCAGCTCTAGCCTGCCTCCTCTTTGCTGCTCCCTCTGCAGCCCTCCTCCAACCCCTTCTAGTCATGATGTGTTGTATTATGTCTCGTCATGTTTTTGTTTTGAAGATATTTTTGGGACAGCTGAAGAGAGACAGACGATGTAGGAGGGATGACGTGCAGCAAAGGGCCGAGGCGGGATTCAAACCGGGGACTATAGCCTCTGCACATGGGAGACGCAACATCACTGCTGAGCTATCTGCTGCCCCGTCTAGTCATGTTGTATTGATTGTGTTGTGTTGCCCTGAGTTTCCAAAATTAAGAGTGTTCCTGAGTCCGACTTCAAAGATCGAATAGAACACACCAAACACAAACTCCCTCCATCCTCCTTTCAACATGATAAAACAAAATGGTGTTTACTGACAGGTTTGTGTTGGAGCTGTATTCATGTCTGAGAAAATGAAAATGTTCAGGATTTCAGGACTCCTGAAGCAGAGCCTCCTTCTGTCCAATCCAAAGACTAACTGTGTTCTATTTGTTCTTCTGTCAGCAGTTTAATATCAGACCAGATGATCCACAGCTCCTTCCTGCCTGAGAGCCATCTGTGACACACACACACACACACACACACACACACACACACACACACACACACACACACACACACACACACACACACACACACACACACACACACACACACACACTATTTGTATGGCTGTCTGCTCTGGGTGTGTCACTGTGTCTTGCAGCACAGAAGTAGGTGCTGCTGTCGCTCAGGATCAGATCTGTAACCTTCAGGGTGAAGATGTTTTTGAATATGTTTATGGTCGCCTCGAATCGACCCTGAGGTTGGTCGTGCTCTTTGATGAGGAACTCCACAGCGGCTCCGTGGTGCGCCTGACGGTACCAGAGCATGGTGTAGCTGCTCATGCTGAACTCGAGGCTGCATCTAAAGTCCGCTGTGAGTCCGGGCTGTGACGTTTGAGTTCCAGACTGATTCACTACGACACTGAGACCTGCAGAACATGAACATGAGGCCTTTTGATTTGTCTTCCCTCCATCATAAAATTCTAAATGTTGTCTCTTTAAGCACCTTTGTTTTGTGAATGATGATTGAATACGTTAAACTCACCTGAGTGTAAAAGAAGAAACAGAGAAAGCACGATGATAAACATGTTAGTGATGAACGTCTTCCAGCTGAACGAAGCAGAAAACACTTCATCACAACAGATCCATGAAGCCATGAGATCAGGGGCGGGTCCTGGATCTGTAGAGGGGGGCGTGGCCAAACTGACTTATGGAGAGCTGACATGAAGTTTGTGTGCACACACAGGAAGAGTTTCATATATTTACCCTTTTTATGTCCACTACTCATGTCTACTTCTTTAAATTAATTAACTAACAGGAAGTGACCAGAGGCAGAGTACAGGTGCTGACAGGAAGTGACCAGAGGCAGAGCACAACACCCATGGCTGTTCTTGAGAGTTCTAATCACCATAGAAACCATCTTAAAATCTTCAATATTTAACAAAACCATCATCTAATTATATCATGAAGTAGGTGATTTGGGTCAAACAGATCATGTGTGGAAAGAAACTCAGAGACTTGATTCAAGACTGCATGTCGAGTATTCTGTCGTTGGATTTATTGATCAGAAACCGATATTAAAGGATGAAAATGTAGTGGTATTTAATGATGGTGATCAAAACGACCTTTACGCAAACACAATCTGACGCTCCTCCCCTGTCGATGACAACATCCTGTCTCAGAAAATTAAAAAAGTGACCTTTTATGTTTCTGTCTTCAACTTATTCTTTTTTTTAATGAAAAATGTATCTATTCTAAAACCTTTGCTCGTCTTTTTTTAACCTCGAAACATAAATTTAACTTGTAATTATTTATTTATTTTTCTATTTTAAAATGGAAATCAAACGATCACAGATTTTTCAATTTTAATATCAGTTTCTGATCAATAAATCAAGCGACCAACAGATACAGGAACCATTGTGCCTTCATTCAGATTTAACATTAATATAATTAATTAATTATAACTAATTAATATATATATATACGCTACTTACACTTATTTAGCTTGAGAGAATTATTTCATAAACGTTGATGAAAAATTACGTGTTGATCGACTGAAAATTAAATAAAGGACTTTTTGTCTTGTCAGCTATTTTCAGTGTTTCTTCAAATATGAGGATTTTATATATTTTAGATTTTTGTTTTCCACCACTATCAGTTTAACTTGATGTGTTTTAGACTCTTTCACAATAAGCAGTTAAATCTTCATCTTCGGCTCTGTCAAATTACACGTGGACCCACTAAGCCCAATTTTCTGAACTTTTATAACCCACACATAATTAAAAAGCATTATCTAATAATTACACAGAATTACACAATTACATTAAATTCAGAGTATACAGAATAAGGATTTTGATTTAGCACATATATCAAATATATATTATTTGTATTGGCCTATAGGCTATTGCAACATTTCTATATATATTTTTTAAACGATGGATGAAGTAAAAAAATATATTTACCAACTCTAGTTTTTTTGTATTGTTTTATTTTAGCTTTAGCTTTTAGGAAACGCATTTTTTAGAGATCTATGATTGACACTTGTTCGTGTTGGGGAGAGGAGGAACAACAGATTAAGGCGGGATTTTTAAAGAGAAGGCCCCGCCCACTTTTAAAAACGTTCTAATCTGTCAAGCCGTTTCAACATTTTATCGTCCGCTCCTCCGAGGCCTCTACGGGACGATTGAAGGAACATTTCGGTGGGTTTAACCTCCTTAACTCGACCGTAAACACAGATGATTCAATAATAGTCCAGAGGAGCAGTTTTAGTGAAGTCTGGACGGTTGTTCCTGAAACCAGAACTTGAGTTTTCTCTGGACCTTTGTGTCGGATTGGGAAACTTCTGGAAGACCTATCTCCTCTTTCTGAAGCTGGAAGTTACTGCTGTATCTACCAAGGTAAGATATTCTTTATTTTGCTGATAAATGTTTAAGTAGGCTAATATCACAAGAGAGAGAGATGAAGGCCGCAGGCAGAGCGCCGGAGATAATGCTAACAGTGCTAATAGAACAACATCTCCTCCTCCAGTCTGATATTACTTTAATAAAACAGTTTTACAAGCACAAAATAATAATACAAAGTCAATATCAACTATAGATAACGTTTTAAACTCCAACATCTCAACTAGTTTCACAATTTAACGGAAACTAGCCTGTTGCTAAGCAACCGGAACGTTCTAATGTACCGTTGGTGTCCATGGTAACCATGGTAACCACAGAGCAGCTGCTCTGCTGTATGAACCTTTACTGACTGTGATCATGAAACCAGTGACGTCAGAGTCTGTCAGCTGTAAATGTTGAAGTATTCAGAAGTCCTGCATGCTGAGGAGGAGGAATACATGTTGTGAAAAGTCTCAGTGATGTTGTTCTACTTTATCATCACTTATGGACTACCTCTTGTCCAATCAGATTGCTTGATCAGAACTGTTGTATAAATGGTGTTTCCATGTTTTCTATCAGTCACTAGTTTTTATAAATCATTTGTATAGTTTTGCTGGATTTTCTCCAAAACATTCAGATGTTTTCCTCTCATCATTTAAACATCTGCCCTGCTGCTTTATGGATATATTTTGTTAGCATGTTGTGACAGGCTTTGTGAGCTGTGTGTTTTTGTTCTAGGCTAAGCTAACATTAGCCTAAGCTAACTGTTGTTCTTCTTCAGGTTGATGTCTTGTGTTGCTTGCTAATGTTAGCTCATAGTGGAAAGTGTCTGTGTGTGTATGTGGGGTTGTCTTTGATTATGAATTGGTTGAACATATTTTTGATTGGTTAGGATACATGCTTTTTTATGCTCTGTTAGAGAATTCAGGCGTATCGGGTTAAATAAGACTATTAAAAATAAATAATGTTGAGCAGCTGGATCATAGCAGTAATCATATTCCACCATTTGGATTGATATTGAGATCATGATCATCTGAACATACCATAGACTGTAAAAATAATGGACGGGACAAGGTCCCCGGTCTAGTGGAGCTTTTATTGTTAGAGCTCCCCCTGCTGACTGTCTGCAGTATAGGTCATAAGCCCCGCCTCCTCAATGATAACAGATGGGATGTGGGTCAAACTGTAAAGCTAAAATACTCGTCACATCATTTTTTTCTAAACCTAAACTGTGCTGTGATCATTAGTTATTATCACCCTACATTGTGTTCAAGTGCTCATTTTTCTGTGAAGTTTGTTTTAAATAAGTTATTTGAGGTTGAAAAACGGGATTTTACGTCATATTTGACGATGATTGACAGCCGCCGATCTTGCGTAGCTCTCTTTGTGAATAACAAAGTTACGTAGTGAAGGAAAGCCGAGACGCCGTTGAATTTTTCCGTTCAGTTTTTTCATCTTTTTTGAGCTGGAAAATGAGTTGTTCTGCAGTAAACTGTTCTAACCGACCTGTGGGAGATAACGGATCTTTGCAGCTTTTTCGGTAAGTAAAAAAGTGATTTATGTGTCATTGGTTAAAGTCGTTATCTAGCTAGCTAACACATAAGCAGTCTAAGGTTAGCTGAAATGTTGTAAAGCTAGGTTACTTATCCGGCATGATTTATCTTTTTATTTTATTTTATTAAATGAACAAACCTAATAACTGACATGCTATGTTTCTTGATATTGTTATGTCGTTATTGTGATTGAAATTGTATTTAAAACCACGGATCGTAATATAAAATCCGCTCATAGATGCGGTTCATTGACTGTACAGTTATTTTACAGCAAAAATAAAAACATCTGGTAAAGTCTCAAAAAAGTATGTCGGGCAAAAACAAAGTCACATAATTGTAATCTGGTCTGCATCATTACTAATGTGAACATGTTTACAGTCTGAGTGATAAGTGGACTATACCGAGAGGAACAGGTTTTACTTTCACCGTGCAGACTGAAATTCATAGGACTATATACGAGGGGAGAATATTTCTCTATGTGTCCAGATAAAACTAAAGGTAAGATGTGATTTAATATAACTGTTCCTGATTTAAGATCCAGATAAAACTAAAGGTAAGATGTGATTTAATATAACTGTTACTGATTTAAGATCCAGATAAAACTAAAGGTAAGATGTGATTTATTATAACTGTTACTGATTTAAGATCCAGATAAAACTAAAGGTAAGATCTGATTTAATATAACTGTTACTGATTTAAGAGACTAACCGAAACGTGAACACAAACATCAACAACCGGCGGTGGTGTAATGTAATATTAACCGAGCATCATGCTGCTTAAACTGATAAATATTCTGCACTGTCTTCCACACACGACCAATTCAACAGTCACAAGTTGATCATATTGTAAATTTAATGACGCTCATTGAGAAATTGTTCTAAAAATTTACAAAACCTGACAAACATTGAGGTGATTGTGACTGTGTCTGTATTTATCACCTTTGAAAGGAAGGTGTTAATGCAGGAGACCAGTGTTACACACAACATGCTGCTGTTATTGAAGTTAGGAGGAGACAGAGGCACAATCAAAGAAGACATAAAGATCGCGTTTTCCCCCACACATGTTAATAAGTTTTAAATGTCATGCATTTATTTTTGATTTTGCTTCAATAATTGTTAACAAAGAGAAACACCAGGATTAAACTACAGGCTGTTGTTGCCTTTTTATAGCCAAAGAAAACTGAACATTCACAGCCTCTGTATTCAAAAGAATTTCAACATTGACATTTATGTCTTCCTATTTCCCTCTTTTCACCAACATTATATTTTAAACAGGGATTTCCTTTTTCTCAGGTCTCTCGTCTCTCCCCCAGCTCGCCCCCTGCGGTGCGCTCCTCTCCACAATGCTCTCGTCTCTCCCCCAGCTCGCCCCCTCCGGTGAGCTCCTCTCCATAATGCTCTCGTCTCCTCCCTCTAAAGCTGCTGATACTCTGTAGGACGCTTTGTAGGCACCTCATCAATAAAATACTATTTTATATTTTATAAGCGGTTTGCCACCACACTGCACTTTTACTCTCCAAAGGCATATGAGTATGTGTGTGACAACTTTAACAAAGCTTTAGCACACAGTCACACCATCCACACAGCTGATCCAGGATTTACTGTAGCATCTTCTACAGCACTGAAAGGTCATGTACAGGCAAACAGAGAGAAGGGAAAAGAAACAATCTGTGCTCTCAAATAACAAAGCAGTCTCAAATCTTTTTGAGGAATTACAGCTATTTTTTTTTTACTTTGCATACAGTACAGCCTCTGATAAATAAAGTGAAGTACTTTGATTGTATTTCTGTGGTGTTCCTGTAGGTGACCATGATGCAGCCAGACTGAAGCAGCAGGTTGTGAAGGTGGACGCCATCATCTTGTCTTTGCAGTGCTGATTCTGAAGAGAACACCTTCACATAGGACTCAAAGGTAAAATGATCTCTCATATGATTGGACCGTGTTATTGTAACTGCTATCGGCATCAAAGTAATTTTAGTAACAATTTATAATCCTTCCTAAAATGTAAGGAAGACTAGCAGAAGATTTTACACAGTAAAATTCATTATACTTTACATTTAACTCTGTGATTGTTTTTCTTTATTACAGAAGATGCTCTCAGATTCAGATCCATCAGCAACCCCTGACAACATGGAGGACTCGTCCCCTGACAACATGGAGGACTCGTCCATCAACAACATGGAGGACTCGTCCCCTGACAACATGGAGGACTCGTCCCCTGACAACATGGAGGACTCGTCCCCTGAGTGTTTCCTGTCCTCTCTCGATGGTCTTCTTCTCTTCAGTTATTAACTCTTGAAAACAGCAGCACAAAATGCCAGACTGTTTGACAAGTCTGTGATTGAATAAATGGAAATGGAATCTCATACGTATCTTGCTATGCTTATTGGCTTTAAATGTTTAATATTAAATAAGTTTGAAGGCCATTTATCTCAGACGAGCCGGCTGTGACAAGCTGAGCTCGTCTGTTAGCTTTGCTGTTGTCTTAGCTGTTGTTGGTCAAGAAGAAATGAATGTCAGTTCAAGGCCTTTTCAAATGTGAGCTATAAACTTAACTGCTAAATTATTTTACTGTGACCAACACGTTGTTGTGCTCCAGTTAATCAGAGACAGTCATATCAGATTTTTAAAACGTTTATTTAAACATTTTATGAAAAGAAATCTTCAATAAACAACCCCTGGCTTCATTAACCATGTGGAAAATAAGTAAGAGAGACAATCAGGTCAAACTGCTGGGACATAGGAGAAAGTATAAAAAATAATTTAACAAAGAAATCCAAACAAAATCAAATAAAGTAAAGAGATCCTGGATGATTGTTTGACTGTTAAAATATGATGGAAAAGCAAATCCAACACAACCCTCCAGCATCTGGCCTTTCAAACACAGGGCAACATCATGTAAAGAAAAATAAATTAAATATTGACCTGGATCTCTGTGTTTTATCTGAGGATGACTATGGTAGCCTTCTCACTGTTCACTGTCACAAAGCTCCAGACTCTGTCCACCTTCTTCAGACGTCGATCAGCTCCTCTGGGTGATGGCAGAGAGGACTCTTCATCTGGGAGAGCTGCTGGTGTAAGGTCATTTCTCCCACAGTGGATGAGCAGGGCATCTGGCACAGGTGATAAAAGGAGGAGGTTCCTTCAAACTATGTGACCCCAGCTTGACCTCTGTAACAGGTGTGCAGATGAAGGTTGAAATGAGTCATTTTTAGGTTCAGTTGATTGTAAAATGGAAAAGAAAACATCACCTTTCTATTTAACATTTAGCTGGTGTATGACTCTGTGATTTTTATTTTTAGAAGACTGTATTGTTAACAACAGCTTGTTTTGACAATCCTCTTATGAAACTTAAAACAAAATCACAGGATATAAACTTTTAACAGATGATTTTAACTTACACTTCACCTCTGTGGAAGATGTCAGACCAGCTGCTTTTATCTCTTCTTTGCCTAAATGAAAATACAAAAAACAATTGATTTACTGTTCACTTAAATATATTAGAAAAGCAGACATGACTCACATTGCAGACTATCAGTTTCTAACAGAATACAACATATCTCACCACCTGTAGTCTACGGTCTGTGGTGCTAACCTAGCTTAAATATAGCTTAAATATAGAACGATTTCGGCAAAACCAGAGGACCCAGCAGCCCACGTATTTTCAATAATGATCAAAATAACTGGATTTTTTAAAACACAGTGTGTTTAAATATTAGACTTTGAATACGGTGGTTTGTTGTACTTACACATTTCTTCATCGTAGACCGGCAGAGCGCTTTCGGCGTAGCTGGGCTGCGTAAGTCATCAGGGCAGTACGCTAAGTGGGCGGGGCGTGTTACCAGGGCTCCTCCCCCCGGACTCTACTGCGCACACTCTGGCTCCAAATGACGTCAAAATCACAAGATGGAAGCGCCCCTAAGCGGCCTATTTTGGCTTCAAGAACGTTGAGTGGGAACAGCTACAGTGCGCGCCCACTGGAACATACAGACTCTGAACACATTAACCGACGGTCGTCTCTCAACCAGCAGGTCAAGGGTTCAATCCCCAACTCCTCCAGCCACATGTCCGATGTGTCCTTGGTCAAGACACTAAACCTCGAGTTGCTCCTGCTGCTTTGTCGCGATTGTGTTTTTTTTTTTATGACCTCTGCAAGCCAAAATCGTACATGAAATTGAAGCTCCATTAATCTCCAGCCCTAAGATGAGGCATTGTTCAAATGTTTTTATTACCAAAAATAAATTGGTTGTGTTGGAACAGGTGTGTCACAGTTAAATGTGTTCCTGTGATGTGTTTATTTTAGTTTAAGATGGCTTTTTATTTGTGTTTATTTCAGTTTGCCTTCATACTGTTTTCTTTATGAATTTTTACTCTTGTGTAACAATTACTGAGACAAGTTCTGCTGACTTTCCTCTCTGCATCTTCAACTTGAAAATAAGAGAGTGAAGGGTTTTTAGTGAGGGGCTGATATTAAACCACATCACTGTGTTTCTGGCAGCACAGAAATACACAGCTGAGTCTGATGGAGTCACACTGGGAATAATCAGAGCTCCTGTTGTAACGTCTTTTCTTGTCATCTTAAACCGATCCTTGAACTTCTCCTCATAGTCGGGTTCACTGCTAGTGTAGCCGTATCCGATTAAATCCATCATGCCGCTTTGTGTTTGCTGGTACCAGAGCATCACATCAAGATTTTCATCATTGTGACTGCAGTTAAATTCTACCCGGGCCTTTTCAACGACTACTTTTGGATGCGATGGTTGAAACGCCACACTCGTTGCTCGATCTGTTGAGAAAACACAGTTTAAAAAGTACTTTAGACAAAAAAGACATGCAGAAATAACAGATGTATTTTCTGTTAATAACTTAAAGAAATAATTAAATTTGCTTTTTAAGTTGATATGATTACATGGAAGCAGGATGAGTAGAAATCCAATCACAGCTGGAGACATCCTTGATGCTGTCTAATCTGTAAATGCCTCATCAGCAGAGAATGGAGGGGGGTGTTTTTAGTGAGGGAGTGGCATTGAACCACATCACTGTGTTACTGGCAGCACAGAAATACACAGCTGAGTGTGACGGTTGTGCTTTGCTTATGATCAGAGCTCCTTTCTCTGTGCCGTCTCTTGTCAGCTTGAATTGTTCTTCAAACTGACCCTCATAAGTGGGGGAGCTTTCAGATCCGTAGCCAATGAGGGTCAGAGACGTGCTGCCCTTTCTCTGTTGATACCAGAGCATGATAACAAGAGAAGTGTCATTATGGCTGCATTTGATCTCGACCGCTATGTCCTTCTGCACTATCTGTGGATCAAACTTCACAAATGTCACAGCGCACGCCTGACCTGTGGAGGAAGCAGATTTAGATTAAACAGAGACAATACACCATCTCTATAACTCAACGTGTGTGTGAGTGTTATAAACATGTTGAATAGTTTAATGTGACTGAGTAGAGAGCTTACATAAAAACAAAGTGAAGAGAAAACCAACTGTGTTCATAAGTGAAGACATTGTTGAGCACTAATGTGGGGAAAGCTGTGATAAGAGTGTCAGTGTAAAGAGGGAGGGGTCTGTGCGGTTTGATTCATAAAAGATTCATCCATGTGCTGTGCCTCCACCTGTTGGCTGAATTTATTCAGGACAGGAATCTCTACGGCTGCTGTAAATCACTGAGGTTCTTATTAAGCACAGTATTTTTAATCTTTCTTCTTTCTCCCTCCATAAAACAAATATTCTGTTATTTTAAACCTGGGGCCATTTTTTAAAACATATTTTGATGTGTACAAACAAATGTGCTTGTTAGAAATTACTCCAGCAGATTATTTCAGTTTGCAGATACAAAACAGGCTGAAGGGGCTGCACCACGTAATCCTTGCAAACTGACCCTAATCAGTTACTCCCTCTAAAAATGCTTTTAGGGACACTCACACACCACAACTGTGATTTAGTGTCTGACAAGATTTCATAAAGTTCCCTGGGGAGGAAGACCCCTTTGTGCTATTTATACCTTTATTTTAGAGATGGGTCAGGGGATAGAGAGAGAGAGTGGGGAACGACCTGCGGTAAAGCAGCCACAGGTCGGATTCAACCCCGGGACATCCGCTCTGGAGGGCTTAAGCCTCTGTACATGGGGCGCGCGCTTCAACCACTGGGCTACCAGCGCCTCAGAGGTACCCCCTTTCACAGAGTCCAAAACAAAGGGCACGGTTTACAATCCACTCACACGGATTTGTAATCTGTCTGCACAATTTTACAATCTGTTTATGCAAATGCATTTCCACGTGCACCCATTGGTTAACTGTGGGAACGGATTTGTAACTGTCTTTTTGTTTTTTCATACCTCAGCCTTTGGGGGCACAGCTCCTACTTATGAAAGAGGAAGAATGTTTTTGGGAAACTGGAAACCGCTGTTTTATGACTGCGTTTAAATTCACCAGACTCCTTTTTAAAAACACATTTACACTGGAGAGGCTAGGCTGCTGTTGTGTTGATCAGTGAGTTTTCCTTTTTAAACAAACATTTGGTAGGATGGGGTGCTGGTGGCACAGTGGTTAGTGCGCGCATCCCATGTATGGAGGCTGTCGTCTCAGGTTCACATCCCACCTGTGGCTTCTTTCCTGCATGTCGTTCCCCACTCTCTCTCTCTCCTTGATTTCCAACTCTATCCACTGTCCTATCTCTCCATTAAAGGCATAAAAAGGCCAAAAATAAATCTTCTAAAAAAAAATACATTTGGTATGATCCAAAATGACCCTTGGAGAACACCGACATCAAACAACGATGCAAAAATACAAACGTCCAAGGCAGCAGTGGACCCTCATGTGCCATGAGGTAAAACCAAGGTTTTCTTGAGCTGACTCTGGTGTCTTAAAGAAAGTCTAGAGTGCAACGTCTTTAACTATAGTCTCTCTGTGTATAGATCGTCTCTGTAACGTTGTCAGACTGTATCTGTACCCCAGCAGAATGTATGGATGTGGACAAATGTGCGTGAAAGTGTGTTTTTAGAATCTCGTATCTGTATTTTATTTCTTGCACTTTATAAAGTTTTCTTTGCACTGACTGAATTTTATTATACTCGTACAATGACAAATAAAGCTATTCTATTCTATTTAATCAGAGAACTCTTTATATCTATAAGGAAAGTTTATTTCTATAGCACATTTCAACAACAAGGCAATTCAAAGTGCTTCACACAAGACATCAAAAGCATCATGACAGAGGAAAGAAAAGAAACATTAAAATAGAAAATTTAAAAAAATCACTGAAATTATTAAATCTGAACATATGTTCAAATAAAAATAATTCAAATGAAATTAATTGAAATAAATAAAGTGAAAATCTAAAAAGAGAGTTTAAAAAGATTAAAATCTTATTAAAATTGTTTAATGAAGAAATGTAGAAACAAGGCCCGGCCTCCCAGGTTGATGAATTAGAATAACCTTTAATTTAAAGATCAAAATATGTAATCTAAGTCTCAGGTATTATCCTCCTCCATGTGTTTTCCTTCATTTGATTACTCTCAGTGTGAGTCAAGTGTCAGAACAACAAAGAGCTTCCCTGCAGTATGTTCTTGTCACAGGTCTGAGGTGTGCCACAGCACCGTGTAGACTAGCAGCACACAGATAAACCGCCTCGTCTTTCCTCTGAACGCTCTCTATCGACAGAGACCACTGCTTCTCCTCCTTCTTCTGTCTCACCGCCTGGTAACCAGATTTGAAATCCTCTTCAAAGGTTGCAGAGCCAGCTGATACCATCACCATTAACTGGAAACTTTGTCCTCTTAGCTGTCGATACCAGTACAGATATGAATAATCTGTCTCATTCTGGTAACAGTGCATCTCAGCTGAGCCGTTGGGATGTCTTGAGATGATTTGGGGCCACTGAGTGATCAGCACAGACTGAGAAACATCTGAAACACACAAAACACAAGAGAACAGATCATTCTCCTCAGGTGAAAGCATTAATTCTCTTCAAAGCTTTTTATTTAACTCCAGATGATGTTCCTGTTTTAGTCTTTATAGACATTTACCTGCAGCCCAGAGCAGAAAGAAAGTCCAGGTGATGATGCCGGGGTTCATCCTCATTCAGGAAGAGTCAAAGAGTGAACATTCAGTGAGCTAACTCTTGTTAGATACGCGGGGAGGAAATGACATCAGAGTTTCTCCTGTGTCCAATAGGCTCTCATAAAAACAACACATTTCACCTGGGGGGGCGGGGCCTTTCGTTTGAGTCACACCTTGTTGTGAAATCTCACAAAATCATAACCGAAAAAAGTGTTTATACGTGCACGCCTGCACGATGTAAGAAAAAAATTTGTAAATAAACATATTTTTCAAAACAAAGAGTGCATATGAGCTATAACTCACAGTCACCTGTGTTTGCAACATCTCATTTCTAAACCCTAAATAAATCCCAAACACTGCTTTTTACTACTCTTAATGGTTACTGATTAATCTGAGAGTAGTTGATAGTTAGCTTAGCTTCATGTTTTGACAGCATGGACGTTCTACCCAAGCTTCTGTACATCTGGTAACAAACTGAGACTTTTGATTGTTGAAAAACAAAGTCCCATTTCCTCTTTATTCCACGGTGTAGGTTTGAAGCAGCAGGTGTGTGTTTGACACAGTGAGCTGCTGTGTTTTTGTAAAAGGAGTCAGAGGAGATGAAGCACCGTGCTGACTGGCTGCACAGAAATACTCTGCACTGTCTGCCGGGTTTATCTGAGAGATAACCAGCTCAGCGTCGCCCTTTGAATGACCTGTGATATTAAAACGTGCCTCAAAGTTCTTCTCCATGTTTGCCTTTTCATAATGAAGCAGTCCGATCAGCTCCATGGCCCTGTGGCCTCCTCCAGCTGCTGCCTTGTGCTGGTACCAGAGCATGTAGGGATAGGCGTTGTCTCCATGGTTACAGGAAAGTCGGGTTTCCTCTTGTTCAGGTTTTATCAGCTGGTTTACGGGCATTTGTTTGATCGTGAGGGAGAACACAAAGTCTAGAGGACAGAAGGAAAGTAGAGATGATGAACATGAAGGTTTGATGGTGTGATGAGAAGAACGACAGATGGTGTGAGTCTCTTACCTGAGAGCAGAGAGAGAGAGAGAAACAAAATGAGAGACATTTCACACAGAGAGGAGCAAAGACATAAATGAAAACTCAGTGATGGGAGATCTCCCTTTATCGTACATGATGAAGGAGGAGGAGCTCACAGCTGTCTTCATGTCAGCGTGCTGTCACTGCTCTCTGCTGTTCAGTTTTACATTTAATCATAAAACACAGAGCAAATAAACGACTCACCTTCACTGAGAAATAACTTCTATCCTTGTTACTTTATCCACAGAGACAAACGCTGTATCACTTTTCACTGATCATGTTGTGTCTCATGTAGATCTTGTGCAACATCTGGTTTGCTTTTTATGTATTTGTATCTGACCAACAAACTGATATTAAATGCTGAGAGATATTCTTATGGCACTGTAGTTTATCTAAAGCTTTTTTTTGGGCTTTTTGTGCCTTTATTGTAGAGACAGGACAGTGGATAGAGATGGAAATCAGGGAGAGAGAGAGAGAGAGAGAGAGAGAGAGAGAGTAGAATGACATGCGGGAAAGGAGCCACAGGCCGGATTTGAACCCAGGCCGTTCGCTTGAAGGACTACAGCCTCCATACATGGGGCGCGAACACTAACCACCACCAGCGCCCCGGACATTCGCCATCTTGACTGCAAATGCAACCGCCACCATCACCCACAGTAACTGACCGATGTAGGCTTTGATGAACATGATAAAAATCATCTCACAGGAAGACACCATAAATCTTTTTTCACTCCGAGAAACCCCCAAAACAGACGGTGTATTAAACAACACTGGACGACTTGTTTTCAAGATTTTATATAAAAGTATTGTCATCATTTTTTCGACTCAAAGTTGATATGCAGAACAGAAAAACTCTCCAGTAATAATGGAGGCTGTTTTTATTTGAGTTTTGATCCTGTGTCAGGTGGTGTCCGGTGGTTTTCCTGTTGCTGTGGTCTGCTGGATCACTATCAGAGTTTTTGTATTAGAGAGACACTGTTTCCATTACTGTGCCTCCAAGCTGCTCCAAAATATTCTCCCCCGTGTTCAGGGTGACTCAGGTTTCTGATGTGAAGATGAGCGGTCTTCTCTCCATCTCCGCTCACGTTAAAATGGCTTTCAAACGCAGACTCCACATAACCACGTTTATAACTCATGTAGGCGATCAGCTTCAGTGAAGTGTCTCCTGCTGAGCGCTGATACCAGAGGATAGTGTCATAGCTCTGGATGTCATGAGTCAAGCTCATTTTCACTTCACCCTTTGGTTTCATCAGCAGGTCAGCTGGAGTCTGAAACACCTTCTTTTCTTTACTGAGAGAAAGTCCTGAAAAGAGACACAAGATTTATAAAATAGATATCAGTTCATTGAGTGACAATCTTCAAAACATCTTCTTAAATGTGCAGTACCTTCAATCCAGAACAAAACAAAGATTAGAACGCTGTAACAGGACGCCATGATGCTGAATGTGAGGAGCCAGCCCGAGTCTCTGCAGCGCGTTGATGATGAGAAGGAGGAGCAGGAAGTGATGTCATCAAATCAGAGCAGATGCTGAGACAAAAAAAAAAAAGGTTTTTCAGTCTTTTCTTGATGTAGATCCAAATTGATGTAGAACACATTGCCTCTGGTCATTTCTGTAGTTGTGATGTCAGAGTCCATATGTCCGTAGTAGGGCTCGGCACATTGTAAAATGAATTGAAACCGACATTCAGAACCTGTAATTCATGTAATCTTGCCCCTGACGATTATTTGGATTATTTTCAGGGCAGAGTCACATGACGACACGTCCAATCCACGTCATGGAAGCAACGCCCGTCGTTTGGACACATTTAGTCTTTAGGGAAGACGACACCGAACAAAAAGGAGTCAAATGTAAACACTGAGGAAAAACTGTTTGCAAGAAATGCAAGTTATTTATTTTCTACTGTTTGAGAGAGAGAGAGAGAGAGAGAGAGAGAGAGAGAGAGAGAGAGAGAGAGAGAGAGAGAGAGAGAGAGAGAGAGAGAGAGAGAGAGAGAGAGAGAGAGAGAGAGAGAGAGAGAGAGAGAGAGAGAGAGAGAGAGAGAGAGAGAGAGAGAGAGAGAGAGAGAGAGAGGTTGAGAGAGAGAGAGAGTGGAGAGGGGAGAGGGGGGAGAGAGAGGAGAGGGGGGAGGAGAGGTTTTTGTCAGGAGCAGGTGTCTGTTTGGTAGACTGTGGTGAACTAGCAGCACAGAAGTACGTTGCAGTGTGATCGAGTGCTTTCAGATCGATAATGGAAAGTGAGCCGTTCTTTTTGTCTCCACTCAGAACTCCAGCTAATCTGAAATGATTCCTAAAGGGAACTTCCACACTTTTATTATCGAACTGTGAATATCCATATCCAACAAGTTTCAGAGCTGTGTCTCCAGGTGATAGCTGGTACCACAGCATCACTCTGTACTCGCTGTGGCCGTGTGTGCACAGAAGCTGCACGCTATCGCCAGCCTTCCTGATGACGGCAGAGGGAGACTGATGGACCTCGATCCCCCGACAAATACCTGCAGGAAGAAGAGATCGTTACATTTAGACATGAAGGTGGAAAGTACGACACACCTTAATTAAAAAAAAAACATCTGTTACCTGTGAGGAAAAAGCAAAAGAGATATCTAATCATCATGTAGACGTCTGACATGGAGCTGAGTCTCTCTGCTGGGAGTCACTTTCTCACTAACAGGAGTCACTTCTGATGTAAAGAGGAGGCAGGGCTTAATGCAGCTGCATATCAAACTGCTATCCAAACACTCCTCTTAAAAGCATCTGGAGATGTTTCAAGTCGACAGGGGAATCGTGAAATTTTTTTGATAATTAGATCAATTTTGTTTTTTTTTATGCCTTTATTTGAGAGACGGGACATCAGATAGAGAGGGAGAGAGTGGAGAATGATATGTGAGGAGCCACAGGTCGGAATTGAACCCAGGCATCAGTCTGCATACAAGGCGCTGAGGCGCATGAACAAACCGCTAGGCCACCGGTGCCTCAATTTTTATTTTTATATTGATACCAATATCTTTAAAGAACCAAGTTTCTATCAAAACCACTGGATAATGTGTTTTTAGAATAATTTGTATCTTGCTTGGATAACAAACAAATTTGTCCTGAGAACAAATTTATTAATTCAAGTTTCTTACAAAAGTCTAAATCCAAAATCGAGTCCCATCGATGGCGGTCGCCATGCTGGAAATGCTGTCTCAGTCTAACTTTCAGTCAACCTAACGACAGGCTGAGAGCTGGAGCTGAGGCGGGTTTTAAACCTCCTGACAAACCGTTACACCGCGCCCACCTGTCAATCAGGTCAGCTACACACCTTATTGTGAATAACTCTTATCCTTCATCAAATCAAAACTGATGAGTCATCAAAACATTCACCCCCCGTACAGTGTGTGTCCATCGAGACATGAGCTAATCACACCTATTTGTGATTTTTTTTTTTAGGTTGTTGTTAAAGCTGAAATCAGAAGCCCCGTCCCTTCTTGATTTTGATTGGTCGGTTATAGGGAGAAGTGACATTCTTTCACAGAGAGCGCTCAGGAGGGTGAGCAATAAAAACGCTGAACTACATTGTTTTTTATTTTTTTTATTTAAACAGCCCAACCAGTGGAAAAAGAATATTCTGTGGACACAGGCCCTTATGGTGCTTCCTAATATCAAAGATCCTTAATGGTGTACTAATCAAACCCTGGTCCCCGATCCCCTCCCCTTATCTCTAACTGATGATGTGACTGCATCAAACCAGAATCCAACCACTAAAGCAGGTGTCTCTGAGCAGTTCAATCCACGTCTTATTTAAAAACCTCGGATGAGAAAAACCCACCGAGGGTTTTTGTAAAGTTCCCGGGGTCTTTTCATCAGCGTGCTTCTCTCGCTGCACAGTAATAAACTGCACTGTGATCTGCTTTCACTCTTTTGAAAACCAGAGAGCCGTTCTTTTCTGTGTTTCCTCCCAAATCTCCAGTCATAGTAAAATCTGCTTCATATGTGGCTTCCATGTTGACTGCTTTAACGTTCAAATACCCGATGAGTTTCATAGCTGTGTCTCCAGGTGAGCGCTGGTACCAGAGCATCACCCGGTAGTCCGTTTTTTTATGGCTGCAGAAAATCTGCAGTTTGCCTCCAGGTTGTGTCAGAACATCAGAGGGAGACTGAAGGACCTCCAGAGCCAGACCGCCTGAGCACAATAAAACAGAAACACATATTAAATTAGAGCTGGAGAATTAGAAGAAAACTTCAAAAGATTCAAACGTTGTCCAGTTATTACCTGAAAGACAGCAGAGAACTAAAAGGCAGATCATCTTGTCAAATATAAAATAAGTTTGAGAAATCTGACTTATTGTCTCTACTCCTGATGAAGATCGGCAGCTCTACTGATGTGACTGAAGTTTAAAGAGGAAGGGGAGGTGATCAGGAAACACTCTCACTGTACGCTAGAAGTCAAAGGTTAAAACTGTCAGAGAAAGCAGCCTGCAGGGAGGAGTTCTCCCTCTGAGTAGAGAATCATGTTTGGTATCTTTTCTTCTGCTGCACCTTTTATTGTTTTGTTGTTTTGGGGCTTTTTGTGCCTTTAGAGACAGGACAGCAGATGGAGTCAGATATCAGGGACAGAGAGAGAAGGGAATGACATGTGGGGAAGGAGCCACAGGTCGGACTTGAACCTGAGCCACCCGCTTTGAGGGCCACTGCCTCTGTACATGGGCCGCGCGCCCTAACCAATCAGCTACTTGTGTTTTTCTTTTGTTCTGATAAATGTATCCAAGCTATTTGGACCTGAGTGGGTCGGTCTCATTTGAACAGACTCATGTCCAGCAGTCCATATATCTGACTTAAACAACATTCATCTGAATGTTAAAATGCTTCTTGAAGGGCTCCTCTGGCTCGATGGTGCTGTAAGACACATGTCCGATGCGTTTCAGAGTGTTGTCTCCAGGAGTTTTCTGGTACCACTGCATGACTGTGAAGTCGGTCTTGTTATGTGTGCAGACCAGCTGGACTGTTCCTCCGGGTCGACTGAGAAGAGCCGGAGGAGTTTGTTTGACTTCTACACAAAGACAAACACCTGGAAATACAAAAAAGAATGAATCAACTGTGTAGAGACTGAAGGATGAGGTGTAACTGCTGAATAGTGAAAGAGATTACCAACGAGCCATGATAACAATAATAATGTTGACATGTTGTCTGAGTGAACACAGAGCGCTGAGTGGCTCTAAAACTTCACCCTCTGGATTCTGATTACCTGCCTCCTCTCTCCTCTCTAAACCAGAAACAATAACCGTCTGCTTGTATTTCCTGGTGCTACAGCTCCACCTACTGGAGAGAAAAATTAAACCATTACAAAAACTTGAAGGTCCAATCAGTGAGATGTGTAGAGAGTGAGATGATAAAGGTATCTTACTCTCTGATCATTAAGGAAACATGCTATGTTGAAGTGCTGGCTTCTCTGACAACAATGCAGCAGCCAGTATGTCCTCCTTCTAACTTTAGATTCTGCTCCTGAATGCTCTGGATTTGTTTGGACCAGAGAAGGTCGGCGCTTTTAAGACACGCCCCCACATGGCTGTTTTGGACGCCCCTCGATTGCCCCCAGATATGAGAGCAGTTATCAGGTCAACAGGTGTTGCAGTGATGGAAGCGGTCAAGAGAAGTGGTTCAGATAGAAGTGATTGTACCCGACCTAAAAAGCCTCTGCATGTTTCTAATAAGCTCCACGAGCAGAAACGTGCTCAAACTAGGATCAATATTGGAGATGCTTTTGAAAAATGGAGAGAGGTTAGAACACAGAAAGGTTTACAGACCCATGCAGAGCTGGATAAACACTGAAGCTTCAGAGTCCACCACATGGTGACCTGAGTGAGCATCAACTCTAGAGAGGAGGTTGCTTTTTCCAGCACGAGATAATTGAGAGATTTTGTGCAGCTGTCTCATGTGTCTGTGTCACTGTGAGTCACTGCACAGAAATACCAGCCTGCATCCCCCCGCTCCACATTCTTCACTGTGAACGTCCCATTCTCAGCGTCAGGCTTTGTGGCTGAGTACTTCTCTTTGCTGAAATCTCCAAAATCAAGTTTGTTGACGTGTGAAGTAAAGGCAAGAAATTGCAATCTTTGTCCAGGCAGCTGTTTGTACCAGAACATAATTAACATCTGGTCACCCTCATGTTGTCTGCAGCTCATTGTTGCACTGTCACCCTGAACTTTAATCAGTGAGTCGGTCTGGGTCACTTTATATCCATCGATTAGTCCTGTTTCACAAAGACACACAACCAAGGGAAAAACAATTTATATATGTATTTGTTTTTCTTTTGAGCTTGTTTTCTTCTCTTTCTCCCGCAGCAGCTTTGCGTTAAAAAAGTGACTAAGATCCAAAGTTTTATTTGAAGTTTTGGTACTTTTCCTTACCATCAATCTTTGAAATAAATAAAGACTGTTAGTTTTAAATCTCATTAAAGTATTGAAAATGTTGATGACCTTACCCTGATTAAGGCTTGACGCTGAAACATGTAGGACTGTTTTAAAGACTGAATATCCCTGTAGTTTAACACCATGAGGGTTGTGATTTGGTCCAGTAGATGGCGCTGTTTTCATACTTTTGAAATGAGATAATTCAGCCGCTGCATTGAAGAAGAGGAAGTGGTCACACAGTCATGTTTCAGTGGAATAACCTCATGTGTGTTGTTTGTCTTTTCTTCCTCTGTTGATTTTTAAATAAAGTTAGAGTTCAAATCTAAAGAAGGCAAACAATAAAAACATTTAAGAAACTCTTTTACATGCTGAATGAGTTCAGACCAGACTGTGAGGTTTTAAAATATCTGACTTTAAATGAACCAGAACAATCATTTACATGAAATTAAATCTGTCTCCTGTTGTTTGAAAACCCGAACTCACCCTCTGATCTCTCTGCTCCTCTCTCCTCTGTGGCTCCTATCCTATTTATTTATTTATTTATTCACTCAGCTTTGGTTGGTTTTCACAGACATCTTAAGAGACAGATGTGAGATTTCACAGACAAATATTGAACTGGAAGGATTCTGCGTCTGAGCAAAAAGAGATCCTGAACTCAGGAAAGAGTGAAACGAGGCGAGATTCAGCTGCCGCTCGACAGATACATCGAAGTACAAACTGACAGAATCATTTAATTTAATGTAATGAAGCTCAGATTCACAGCAGCAGTAAACACTTTTATTAAGTCGTCATAACGATCAATGTCATTTCATAATAAGATAAAAACCTGCAGTTGGTGGAAACACACGTCCCATTTTTTAAGGTGAAATCTACAAAATGAATCAGAGTTTCTGAAAGTCTTCAAAAAAAAGTAAAAAAAGAAAGTTCATCCTTCAAATAAACAACTAAATATATAAATTAAATCCAACTTATGACCTGTGACTGAGGGAGACAGTTTAGACCAAACAGACTTTAAAATACTTTCTCAACCCAAACAAAAATCAATTATTAGAAAATGCCTCAAAACATGAAGTTAAAGTTTTAATCTTTGTCCATGGGCTCAAACTTTTGGAGGGTTAAAGGGTTAGTTCTCTCACATTTAATAATTAAAGAATTTTTAATTTGGCCTAATCAAAAATATCTCTCTAGTTATGTTGTGGTTCGAGATAAACTGACTGCTCTGCTGGTGGAAATAATAGGACCGTTAAAAGAGTAAATTGTAGCTCTGACACCTGGTGTTTAAAATGGGTACTGCAGTCCAGATTAAAAACATTATAGAGAGCTGTCTCTCCCCCCCCCTCCTCTCTAGAGTGGATGCTCACTCAGGTCACCATGTGGTGGACTCTGAAGCTTCAGTGTTTATCCAGCTCTGCATGGGTCTGTAAACCTTTCTGTGTTCTAACCTCTCTCCATTTTTCAAAAGCATCTCCAATATTGATCCTAGTTTGAGCACGTTTCTGCTCGTGGAGCTTATTAGAAACATGCAGAGGCTTTTTAGGTCGGGTACAATCACTTCTATCTGAACCACTTCTCTTGCCCGCTTCCATCGCTGCAACACCTGTTGACCTGATAACTGCTCTCATATCTGACCAGGTCATTTTAAGATTTAATCCTCTAGATGTTTTACAGATTGATCGTTTAACAGCCTGTTTGACTGAAGTATCAATATATTCTACTCTGTGCAGATTTCAGATTAACACACAAGTTGCACGCTTCTTGTATAAATACATAAGCTAAAGTGTCTGCAGTGTGGACGTCAGGTGCCAATCAGCAGATGTGAAATAGCTCTCTATGCATATGTGTGCACTTTCTCTCTCTCTCTCTCTCTCTCTCTCTCTCTCTCTCTCTCTCTCTCTCTCTCTTGTTGGCTAGAGGAGAACAAAAGGTTCAATTATTATTTAACTAATGTCCTCATAATGTTCTGTGGTTACAGAGAAACACTTAAACGATAAAACCTCACCGTGTCAGTGTGTGATTAAACAGTTTGACCTGCTGTGAGACTTTTCACTTTGCAGGAAATATTATAGGTGAATGCATGTTAAAAATGAACATTTAAAAGAAAAAAAAGTAGTTTCAGAAAAAGAGAGGAAGATAAGGTAAGAGACTGCAAACAGTGGTCTCATGTCACAGATTGTAGATAATTCTTTAATAATTCATATTTCCTCCAGGAGTCAGGAGACTGAAGCAGCTGATGACTGAAGCAGGTTTCACTTCACACGAGAACGACAGATGGTCGTGTAACCCGGGGACAGTTACCCTGATTAACAGTCAGCGTTTTGTAGCGAACACAAAATAGAATTTCCATTAAAAAAAAGTTAAAATATGTTGGTTTTGCTCTCGATTATAGAGCTGTAAAGATAGAAAATCTAAATCAGCACCTCCTGTTGTGGTTATTCAAGATAACTTCCCGTTTTGGTGAACTTTTTGACAACACTTAGAAAAAAAAAACAACTTGTTGTGTGCGATATGCTCTGATTGTCCTGAGTGAGTGGAATCAAACCCCTGACCCTCTAACCGTTAGTCCATGACCACGTGCTGTGATTGCTGACGCTCGGTCAGGTGAAAGTGTTGAATCCGGTCTTATTGTTTAAAGGGATTCCCTCTGCTCCTCTGAACTCCTCTGCGATGTCATCAAACGTGCGACCTTTTGTCTCCGGGAGGCGAATCCAGGTGAAGGTGAAGGCGAGCAGAGCCACGGCCATGAAGAGGAGGTAGACGTACGCACCGCAGACTTTCTGTGTGGGGAAGAAACAGAGGGGGGTTTAAACTGTCCCTGTTTCTCTTAAAGTAACCAAAAGTAGTCTCTGAAGATCAAAACCTCTAAATGTTACCTTTGAGTCACAATAACCACATTTGTTTACCCATCATGCCCCACTCCTCAGCAGCTGCTTTGAGGCGGTCAGTTCTGTTTTCCACAGCGTGCCGCTCATCAGTACTGTCATTAAACCTGAACTTGAATTTGCAAACTGAGCACACAGCAGTACGACTTTAAAGGCTTTATATGTGATGTTTTGATCCAGCAGATGTCGCCCTTGAGCACCAGCATGAAACCAAAACAACTTGCGCTGCATTGTTCTGTTAGCATGCTAATGCTAGCGATCTTTATTATGCTGGTATCTTCACACTGCATGTAAATTTACCTGAAATGAGCGTGATCTAGAAACACAGTTAAGCAGTGAGTACAGTATGTTATTCTTCTTTTCTCTAGTCCCTCAATTAAACAACTTTTATACACGAGGGGAGGAGTCAGCCGGCCGTCCGGGCGATGTAAACAAAGTGAAGATAGGACTCTGAAAACTCTGAAAACATCACAGACAGTGGGACTCGGGTGTTACACCCATTGTAGACAGTCATGACTCACAGAGTTATTTTCAGAGGAGATACTTGATTTCTACATTTAAGTGTGAAAAATCACATAGAAAGACTTTAACATCATTTGAGCTTCTTACTTAAATGTGTGAAGAAACATCTTAACACGTTAACTCAGGAAGAGAGAAACATAAAGGATGTTTAATCTGGCTCTTTGTGCTGGTTCAAGGTTTGCTGCAGCACAACAACAGTCTGATGTTTCCCTGGTTAACTGTTACTTTAGTCTTTATTATTTCACCTTGAATTTAAAGGATTCAGCTTCAGATTTATGTCTAGTTAACAGTAACTAGATTTACAGCACTTTTACAGCGTACAGTAAAGTCGTGTTTATAAAAGGCTGAACAGATTTACAGGCTGTATTTAACAGCCTTCTCTCAGAGGAACCAGAGAATCTGCAAAAGCAAACACACTCCTGCAGCCCAGCACTTTAAAACCCACCAGTAACGGAGGGAAGACGAGTGCCAGGACAAACTTCCCTCCCCAGTTGAGCATGCTGGTGAAGGCCATCGCGATGGGCCTGCCGGGCTGGTCGAAGAGCTCAGCAGCGATGAACCAGGAGATTGGACCTGGACCCAGCTCGTAGGCCGAAATCAGGCAGAAAACCAGCAGGACCTGCAGGCTCCGCAGCTCCGGGACCAGGTGCTGCACGGGGGATTAACAAGTTTCACATTTAATATTAATTATCGACAGTTTGTGTGTTTTTCTGGTTTCATCTTTGAGTATGATTACCCACATTGATTTTCGGAGTGTGCGTCAGGTTTGTCAAACATTAAAAACTGTGTGAAAATAACAACTTGAAGATGATCTTACCTGGACGGAGTCGACGATGGTCATTAGTAAGGTACACGCTGCGATGGAGATGAAACCAGTCAGGAGTAATCTCCTCCGCCCCGCCCTCTCCATCAGGAAGAACTTAGACACAACAAAACAAAACAGTGGTGACTTTGTACTCATCCTGTCCTGTTTTCTAATTTTACAAACACTGTAAAGTTGATAAAGTGATTTTTTTTATAATTGAATGAAATTACAGTTAAATCCTGAATATATCTCATACTGGTATAAAAGACTCGGTCTGTTTTGGGGGGTCTGGGGGGCACAACATTTATTTGACGGGAAATGTTAGTAGTAGAGAGAGAGAGAGAGATGGAGATGATATGCATTGAAGTGCCAAGATTGGATTCAAACCCTCGGCCGCTGCGATGAGGACTACAGCCTCCATACACGGGGTACACTACATAACACCTGGACTATCTAGGGCCCTTCAAGTTTGTATTCCTCTGTAGATTGAAAGTTCTGGTGTCACTGAATTTATTTTATAAAGCCGATATGACGTTGTGCAAATCAGGAGCTGACATGTAAAGACTACCACTCCCTTTGTACTTACTGCCACCAGTGTGAAGGTCACATTGACGGCGCCCACACCCAGAGTCAGGTATTTGGCCTGGTCAAACTTAGCCTGGAACATCCTGGTGGAATAATTGATGATCTGGAAGGAAAGAGCAGAAATGTATTTTAGATTAGCGGGCTGCTGGAACAACTTTCAGTGGGTAACGTCCTGACACACTGCCCCAGAATCTGAGCAGGAGCATAAGAGTAGCGCTGAGCCTGAATCATTTATTGAATAAATGCTGGAAAAGCAGCAAGTGAAATATTCATCAGACAGGAAGTAAGCCACAGTACCGCATTGAATCCAGACAGCTGGCTGCCTAAGTTGATGATGAGGACGATGATGATTGGCTGCTTGTATCTTTGCTTCTTGAAGAACTCCTGGATGGTGACGCCGGTCTGAGTGTGGGCGGCCTCTTCCTTCATCTCCTCCAGCTCCGTGAGCACCTTGTCTGTGCAGCCCCGCAGCCTCAGCAGGGCTGCAGGGTCAAAAGAAGGTCTGTTGTGTTATAGCCACAAAGCTGAGAGAGATACAGGACACCATTAAAAAGAATTTCCATTTTTTTGACCCCTGGAATTTCAAAGCTGGGTTCTTCAGCTGTTTTAACCAGTTTCAATTCATCTGCAGTTTTAAATGCAAATGAGCTGTGTCTGACCACGCCCCTCTCTATACATTTTTTCCTTCTTTGATACAGACTAAGATCCAATCAGACTCAGATTGATATGAACACCAAATTAATTATTTTATTAAGGACTTTAGTAAAACTTAAGTGTGACCCACCGGCCTCGGCTTTGCTCTCCTCTCCTCGGTTGATGAGCAGGTAGCGAGGACTCTCCGGACAGAATGGGAAGATCAGGTACTGTGCCAAGGCCGGGATGAGGGACAGTGACAGCATCATGGCCCAGTTATGCTCCGTGCCCAACACTGTCTCCAGACCTGCCACCTGCAGCACACAAACACAGAAGCTGAGTTAGGCAGGAGGGCTGTGAGACTCTGAGACGATACGATCATCTCAAACAACAGTCCTCACCATTCCCAGCAGGATGCCTAAGGCGAAGGACACCTGGTTGAGTGTAGCGAAAGCCCCCCTCAGGTTTGTGGGGGACACTTCCTGGATGTAGAGTGGATTGAGACTCATCACCAGACCGCAGAAGAGACCGAACACCAACCGTCCCAGGATGAGGACCTCGAACGACTCACAGACTTTGGAGGTGGACATCAGACATGCTCCGACCATGGAGAGACAGTTCACTATGAGGATGGAGTTACGTCTGAAGCAGAAGGCATGAGAGAAGTTAAAAAACTTAAAAAATTAGAGCAGAATGGAAATGTAAAGAATCACAATTGTTGTTCTCGCCTTCCGTAAGAATCTGCCAGATATTTAACTCCTAGCGAGCCGAGCAAGGCGCCGAAGTCTTTTATGCTGACGGAGAGCGACCACAGCAGGGTCAGGCTGTGATCTGGCATCGACTCGTTGTGTCTGGCTCTCCAGGTGTGATTGAAGAACTCTTCAATGATCTAAACAGTTTCAAAAAAACAAAAGATAAACATCAGAAAAGACAGTTTGATAAATTCCAAGAGATGTGCTCTGATATCTCATGATTCAGAGGATTATTCCGTTCAGAGCTCCTGTAGATGATGCACATGATGCATTAGCAACTCCCACAGCGATGTAGTCATCTTGACTGTCTGTCTTGCTCTAACAGATCTGCAAAGAACATTTTGCAGAATGGACATTCTTCAGTGTCAGCATAGACGATCGGTCTCACGTGTACCTGTGAAAAATCCAAATCCTGCCAGGCCTGGAGCCGAGCCGGAGACTTTCAGGAAATCCTCGAGTTTATTCAGTGTTTTATCGACGGTGTGAGATGTTTGTCCGACCAGCGGACAGGTTTCCAGCATCCCCGTCTGCACCATCTTTCTGGTTGATATTGGCCTCATACTGAATATCTGCATATCTTTGTGCTCTGTCTATAGATGTTTTCACATAGTTTGCACTCCTCTAAATGTATAGGGAATTAAAATAGAAACTCCGGGTGAAGAGAGAAACATTCAGCTGTTTGTGTTCACACATGACGCTCAGAGTGATAAACTTCAGGAGGTTTTGTGCAGGTGTCAACGAGGCTGTCATGATGCTTTTTGGTGCAGATCAAGGCTGTTTCTCTCTGAGATATATTGGTCATTTCAGGGTCCATTATTCATGTGCATTTCTTTGTTGATACAAAAAGTCTGGGCATTTAAGAGTTGACAAATACTGGATTGTTTGAGGCTGGTAACAAGGCTGTTTTTAGGAAGAAAAACATGAAGATTCCAGATTTCATAACTGGTCATATGTGATGTTTATCTGTGGTATTATCCGCCCAAATCAGCTGATAGTACTGGTTGAAAGTTTGACTCAGGCGCGTATCTGTATATATTTACACAGGGAATGCCAAAGAGAAAACAACGTGTTGAAATGAGAATTAACGCACAGAAGAAGACATCACAAACTCTAAAATGAAACTATTGCTTTCAGTATCTTCTGTTGTAACATACCACACTGTCTCTCCCCCTCACTCAGTTCCCGTCTGTCCGGCTCACCTTGGCTGGAGCGTTGACGTTCCCCGTGTGGTATCCAATCTGCAGGGAGCCAAGCACCGCCGCCAGGATGGACACCAGGAGTGTGGTGGTCAGATGGCTCTGTAACAACATCATGGTCATTGACATTTATTCCAAGCCATTATTTTGATAATTGATTAATTGAAGAATCAGATTAAATGTTTTTTTACTTCCATCCATTAATTCAAAAACAGTTCAGACTGACTCAGGTGTTATCAGAGGTCAAAGGTCAATCTCTCACCTCTTTGACCTCCAACAATAACGAACCCTGTGACTGTTAAAGGTGAAGGTCAAGGACGACTCCTTTCACACACCAGAGCGCAAAATTTAAATGATCACGTGTGTGTGTTAGTGCCCCCCCCCCCCCCCAAGCCCAGTCAGGAAGAAAGAGACTAAAACAAACAAACCTCTTTGGAAGCCATTTGTCTGGATGAAACGTTGAATGAGTCCCTGAAGATGTTGGAGCATTTATCTTCTTCTTCTCTCCTCCTCTGCTGTGAAACACAAACAAACATGACATCATAATGTAGGAAGCTCCAACATGCACAGAAGATCTGGGTTTTAATTTTCATCACCAGTGAAGATACAGAAAGTAGGCATAAATATGTTCCATTGAAATCTTTTGTTTCCCTTTTAATTTTTGTCTGTTTTTATCCAAATACATCTGTTTTACAATAGTAGCAGATTTTCTCATCAGAAAGTGTTTTATCGGGGGCACCAGTGGCCTAGTGGCCTAGTGGTTAGTGCGCTCCCCTAATGTACGGAGGCTTTTGTCCTACAAGTGGACGACTTTTCTGAGCGCACCGCCTGTTTTTGTGCGGCCGCTCCGAGTGCTCAAGTTGAAAATCTTTCAAGAAAGGCGCTGTTGATGTCACCGGTGCTATTTTCCTAATGTTTGATATTTCCTGTAGTTTTACCTCCTACTTATCGTGTCTTGTACCCTCACCCTCCTCACTCCTCTTCTGATCGGGAAATAAACGATCTTGAATATAAAACATGCAGTAAAAAGTAACGGCGCAGTCTTGGTCATACAGCGCCCGATTTAAACAGAATGCTGTCATAGCGACAGGATGGACCTGCAGTGCAAACATGTTAGACTCTCCACAGTTTAAAGTTCTTTGACGAGGAATAAAGCCGATACGCACGATCGAGAGAGAGAGAGAGAGAGAGAAATGAGGTTTGTGGTGGCGCTGAGGTGATCGATGTAACTCTCAGACATTAACAGCTAATGTTTAAAGACGTCAGGTTAAGTACTAAAGACAAAGATGACTCTGATTCTCCCTAACTGTAAACACTCTGATACTCTGAACTGATTACCAACTGACCGACTTACAGACAGAAAACATGAAGATATTTATATTAAAGAAAGTTCTCACCAAGAATCCTGACGCTCCAAAGATGATCCCTACGAGTGAACGCACCTCTCCTGCAGGCACACACACTTTCACACACTCGTCCTGGAGTGGAGGGTCGAGTGATAAAGTCGCACTCGGCTGCTGAATTTGAGGCGGGCCTGACAGAATGGCCTCCTCTGGGGGACCAGCTGATCCACATCCTGCGCTCAAACTGACCCAGGATCTGATAACGTCCTGCACAGAGACTCAGATCAGCTCTGTGGTGAAGTCTCACAGCTGACCTCGGGTCAGGACCAAAGAGAACAGGTTTCCATGAGGAGCACTCAGTCGGCATTTTGGCATCACGTGCTTTCGCGGCGTGTTGTGGCTGTTCTGTGGCGATCTTCACTGAACATTCAAGAGCGTCCTGAAAACTTTCATCTCCAAACGTCTCTCTAGGAACTTTCAAATAACAGTTTATTTCATCCACAAAGCAACGTTTTAGTCTCATCCAAAGCAATAAAAGATTAGAAAGCTGCAGATAATGATGACATGTGAGAGTGTTTTAAACTCTTAGTATCCCAAAGATGAGCACTTAACCAAAGAGAAGACTCCTTGTTATGTTTTCACACATAAATAACAATCTTAAGTTAAAAAAAATGTCAGGGAACAAAATATTTGAAAGAACCAGAACACGAGGACAAAGCTCAGGAAGAAAGAAAGCAGGAATATCATCTAAATAAAAGTGAAAATGTTGAAGAGTAACTGGACTTTGACCTCTAGTGACAAGAATAAGACAAAAAATTTTCTCCTTTGAAGTCAAAATGTTTCATCACAGTGGAAATTTAGGGTTAACCCTTAATTAGATTCATTACTTCTCCTACCTAACACCAGAGAGTGTAATAATATGGACAGCGTGTCTCAGACTCCTCCTGTTTAACACGATGAAGCCAAAGTTTCTTCTTGACGGCCGCTGACATGTTTTTAAGTTTTCAGAGTCTGAGCAGTAAAGCTTCAGTATCGACACCACACCAGTGCTGTCACTTTAAAAAAAATCTACTTTAAACGAAAGTAGAATGTGATGTTCTACATTCCCTTTCTTCCAGCCTATCCTGAAGCTCTGAGAGAAACAAAATAATAAAAACATACTAAAGTTCGACCAGGAGACAGATGGATTCTGATTTAAGAGATTGTTTCATTCTGATCAAATCTGTGAAGACGTTCCTTCTCAAAAAGGAGCCGATTTAAAAGTTACACCCCTCTGTTGGCCGTTTTGGACGCCCCTCGGTTTACCAGATATGAGAGCAGTTATCAGGTCAACAGGTGTTGCAGTGATGGAAGCGGTCAAGAGAAGTGGTTCAGATAGAAGTGATTGTACCCGACCTAAAAAGCCTCTGCATGTTTCTAATAAGCTCCACGAGCAGAAACGTGCTCAAACTAGGATCAATATTGGAGATGCTTTTGAAAAATGGAGAGAGGTTAGAACACAGAAAGGTTTACAGACCCATGCAGAGCTGGATAAACACTGAAGCTTCAGAGTCCACCACATGGTGACCTGAGTGAGCATCCACTCTAGAGGGGGGGGGGGAGACAGCTCTCTACAATGTTTAGAATTTAGACTGCAGTACCCATTTTAAACACTAGGTGTCAGAGTTACTGCTTTAAATGTAATGTAGAGTTTTAACTTCACAAAGGTTAAAGTTGAACCTTTTAACTTAAAGTTAGTTTCATCTTTGGTGCAGTTCTTCGTAAACTTAGATTTATTTATCCTGTTTTAAAAATAAATCCTTATTAGGACATACCGGTCTTTTACTTAACTCCTTTCCCCGAAATGGTGCAAACAGGTACAGCTCATTACTTCAGTTTTACAGGTTGAAATCCATAAAGCTTTTGATTTTCTCGTCTTTGTGATTTTCTCTTCGTTTCCCGTCACGGATCACCGACATTTAATGAAACCCACTCGCTGTAATTGGCTGATACACAGGTACGAGGGTTGTTGTGGTCGTGTTTGCATGCTAGTTTCTGTGAACATATTATCCCCGGGAATGTGTGTGTGCACATAAAATCTACGTTATAAGTGACACAATGAAATCACCATGGACACACACACACACACACACACACACACACACACACACACACACACACACACACACACCTGCCTCTTTACTAGAAATAAAATCTTAACGGGCAGAAACTGCTTCTCGCTGTCGAGCTGCTCGAGCCAAGTAAATAAAAGTAAAGAGAAGATGAATTTCAGGGTCAGGAAACGTTTCCCAGCTTCGACAAACCACATCGTTTGTGCATGAAAATAACCTTTGTCATGAAGGCTTTGTGAAATATGTATGAATAAATATTAATTGGTGCCTGAGGCGTGGAGGTGATGAGAAACAGATCATCCTCGCTAAACGCTGCTCTGTGAAAACACAGCGCGTTGTTTTAGAGACTGAAAACAAAAGAGCTCTCAGACAGCTGTGAACCTGAAATGTTTTATTCACAATATCAATATGGCTTCTTCAACTTACAAACTGCTAATAGATGTCAAACATCAGACATCTCATATTTTATCCTTGTGGTTTAATTTCAGAACGTAGCAAACACAAAATGTTTCTTTAAATCCTCAGGATGTTTTTTTTTCCAGCCTCTCAGTTAAATTTCTCTCTGGAGTTTTTGGGGCGAGCTGATGTTTGAACACAGGGTTGACCCTTTGTTGGCTCTCTGATTGGTCCGCTGACTCACAGATTTTTCTTTTCCTGATTGTTCCTGCTGCACAAACTGATGGACAGCGTCTGATATCACCATGACAACAGCAGTCTGTCTCCCCCCCTCCCATCATGAAAGAAACATCAGCAGGAAATATCTGCACACCTCCAGCTGACAGAGAATATTCGTTGTGATGTAGCCGCTAGTTAGCTTGTTGATGGCGATGAAGAGTGTGAGAGAGAGAGAGATTTAGATCTAACCTCGGTCTGTGGGAGTTTTCTTTTGAATGCTCTGTCCTGATTTCACTCGTACAGTGTGAGCTCTCAGGTAGTGCTCGACGATCAGGTCGTTAGCTGTGAGCACATAAATCATGAGCTTAAATCTTTATTCCACTCACACTACGACATAATCTGGGAAGTTATCTGTACCAAGCAGCTTCGAGTCGGGAACACAGCCGCGATCGTCAGGAAGGAATCAGACCTCAAATCAGACCGCTGATCCTGAAGTCTTTATACGATTACTTTATTGTCCATGAAACATTGTTGGACTAAAATCAATCAGTCAAAAAGATGATAACAATAACATTAACTGACCATCGTAAACAAATCGGTCGTCCAGTCTGAGATAACATTCAAACAAAGCTTTCATATAATCGATGTGAACGTCAGGCTTTAGGCGACCAGGGGGGATCGTATCTGATGGGAAGGTTAGACTCTGTAGTCGAGGACTTCAGAGCACTATGACCCTGTCCGGCGTGCTGAGCAGAGAACTTATCAAAGATGGCTCAATATGAGGATATTTCTTTTTGATACCATCATCTAATATGGTTTATATATCAGTCATGTCTTAGTGCTCAACATGTTATACATGGTTTTTTTTTAATTACTTTATTCGCTCTCTAAACTTCCTTTGTCTTACAAAAGGTCGAGAAAATCTTTCTTTGATCTTGTTCAATTCAGTGTGAAGCTGTTTGCCTGAGATTTTTGGCAATTACAGGAAATTAAAAAATATTTTGTGCAATTTTTTTTTGTTGCTGTGATTTAAAGACAGATATAGTTTTGGTCTGATTCTTACTGGCATCGTATCAAAGTGTAACATTCTGCTATTTGACCTCCCTAATGGACACGCCCCTTTTTTCATTCTGTTTTACATTGTAAATCTACATAAAAACAAACAAACAGCTCCATGTCACAAAACTTTATTGAGCACAAATCTTTAATCACACATGAGAAGTGGTTCCTGTTTCAACTTAAAGAAAAAGAGAAAAGTTTGAGCGTGACGGTAAAATACGTCTTCCACCTGCAAAATGTTCCTGCAGCTGAGCGTGTGGATACGCCTGTCTGGAACGTGACCTTTGACCCCTGAGCCCTGGCCTCCTGGTAGGGGACCCTCTGACCCTGAGCACAGGCTGCCGGGCAGGTGCTGCAGCGAGCACAAATGGTGAACAGTGTGCACCGTCATCATCCCCCCCCACCCCTCACCCCCCACCGCTGATGTTCAGCTAGGCTAAAGGGGCCGCGCTAATGACCTGTAATGGTGTTTCTGATGTGTTGCTAAGTGTTTCAATGCACACACAGGAGGAAGAGACCACATCAAACTAACAGACACAAACCAAACGTGGATTCATTTTAGTGAATGACTGACCGGATCGTCTTAATCTATAAACCTAAACATATTTAAAGTCAGTTTGTTGGCGTTACACTTTCTCTTCAGGAGGCACCAAGTTAGAAAAGACGAGTTTTAAACTTCACACAGCACCTGTACTGCCCACACGTCACATTCAAAACCCCAAATTCCAGTCCTCACCTATGAAACCCCTTCAGCAACCCGCCCACCCTCAGAAAACACACACACACACACACACACACACACACACACACACACACACACACACACACACACACACACACACACACGGACAGACGCACACACACACGGACAGACGCACACACACATCCCGAAGCAGCTGCGTCATTATAAAACTCTTTTGAACTTCACACTGGAAGTCAAATGCCACATGTGTCAGTACAAGACAGATGTACTGCAGCTGCCTCTTGGCTCCAGTTTCATCTGTGATACTCCCCTCTCTTGCCCCCCCTCCGAACCTAAAAAGTCACCCCTCCTCCCCCCATCACCGGCAACCTCACCCCCGAAGCCCCTACGCCTCCCATCATGCACTGACAAAACATCCGCACCTTTGAAGTGTCATCACTAAATCATCGAATCTCACAGCTCACACAAATCAAAAGTGTGAACACAGCGAGCATCTGTGAGGTCGAGTTTCAACGTTTAGTCAAAGAAATCCTCAAAGTGTGTCCCTCATCATCCTCATTCAAAAAATGTTATATGTAGATATTATACTGGGACATTTCACATGGTCATCACTGAGGTTATAATCTGTGATTTGGTCTGTGGTCCGCTGCACCTCTACAAGTCTCTGTTGGACAGAGTGACATCTTTGCAGCCTCAGTCAAATAAAACACTTTGGAGTTACAGGGAAATCTTTTGATTTAAATCCAAACTTCTGAAATTTGAAACAAACTTTTGGATTCTTAAAGCTCCAATCAGTGAGATGTGTAGAGAGTGAGATGATAAAGGTATCTTACTATCTGATCATTAAGGAAACATGCTATGTTGAAGTGCTGGCTTCTCTGACAACAATGCAGCAGCCAGTATGTCCTCCTTCTAACTTTAGATTCTGCTCCTGAATGCTCTGGATTTGTTTGGACCAGAGAAGGTAGGCGCTTTTAAGAAACCCCCTACACGTCTGTTTTGGACGCCCCTCAGTTTGTCAGATATGAGAGCAGTTATCAGGTCAACAGGTGTTGCAGCGATGGAAGCGGTCAAGAGAAGTGGTTCAGATAGAAGTGATTGTACCCGACCTAAAAAGCCTCTGCATGTTTCTAATAAGCTCCACGAGCAGAAACGTGCTCAAACTAGGATCAATATTGGAGATGCTTTTAAGTTACATATTGCTCCTTTAAGCTACATTTTCTGATTTGAAAGCAAAAACTTTGAATTAGCAAATTTTTAGAATACATTTTTACATTTTATATCACAAGTTTATTTAACTTTCTGTGGATTAAAAGCAATCAGTCAAAAAGACTTGTTCATAAAATTAAGAAAACTTCAAGAGAGAATGTTTCTTTAAAAGTGTTTATTAACAGATCATGTAATCCAAAAGGCTTTATTGATACTGAGCAGTTTGTATTAACTTGTGCACACCTGACTCTCACTGTTCAATGTCTGCAGGCTGTAGTGAGCCGCCTGTACCACAAGGGGTCAGTGTTGAGCTCCTTCTTCCCGACAGCAGAGCGCTCGTCTCCTGTTTCAGCTCTCTCCATTTGCATGAACTCAAACTAAAGCAAAGTTTGAATAAATATCTTCAGATCTTAAATTGTTTCTCTTTCTGCACATGGTCACGTGCGACTATGATTTAAATCACCTTTGACGTTCTGAAGACAAAAATCTGAGACAATCGTTCCTCTTTCATGATTTAAAAGTTTTAAGAAGTTCTGCAGATTGACAGTTTGATTCCTTCAAAATAAGAGCGCACAGTAGCTGTGTGCTGTTTGCACTTTGATTTCTCTGAGATGAATAAGTCACGGCTCGATGTGAGACTTCAGTCAAACTCGACTCCTCACTGCATCAGCTGTTAAGAAATAACTTGTTTGTTTCTTAGTTTGTTCTGAATGCGTCTTCAGACCTTTTTCTCATTATGCACGCTTTAAATTGAAGTCAAAGTTCTTTCACCCAGAGAAGTGATGGAAGCCAGGTGTACGGCACTGCTGTGTGCCAACATGCACTTCATAAACTCAGCTTTTTATCAGGGAGATTTTCTCTTCTAAAGACGGCCTTGTGTTCTTTTTTTAGTGTCTATTGTGACACAGGTTGAAATAGCTGAAGGAAATCAGGCCTGCATTAAAGTGGAACAAGCTTTTCATTCCTTGGCCAAACAGCTGCACCTCAAGCCTCATCATTTACATTGAGCAATTTCACCCCAAAGGCAACATGTCTGAGTGTTTTGTTTTTCCAGGAAGATCTGATTCCTTCAGCTATGAATAAGAAATATTGAGATTGTCTCGACACGCCTGCCGAGGCTCTGCAGTGAAAAAAGCAGAGAGACGATCTGTGCTTCTCTCTGACGGACTGACAGAGCCTCCTTTGCTCTGCGTCCCCCCAGCGTGATTAGCAGTGATTACTAGCCTGTTAGGTTGTCTTAGATCTCTCATGTGATCTGCAGCTCTGCAGCGTCTGGAAGCACTTCAGCAGACACACAAGCCCAGTGTTCAGAGCGGACTGAAGCAGCCACTCAGGAGAGAGACCTTTTCTTTTTCTCCCTCTTGGCACAAACGTCCAGCTCAAATTAGACATGACTGGACTTGTGGTTGTAGCGGATTAAGCACCAGAAAAGTGTATACATTCTTGACCGTGCACAGCGATGATGGCAGGACTCGTAAAACACTGAAACAGTCGAATAACTGCAGCGCAGATCAAATAAACAGAGCTCAGAGTTGATAACATCCAGTCCGGTATAAGCGTTTTTCAATGTTGTGAATTAGCTACTGTAACATCCTAAAGTCTGACACCATGTGAACACTGAATAATGTTTATATCTCTTTACAATAATCCAGAACAGACATTGAAGGAAGTGAACAGCCGAATGCCTCACAATGAATTTTTAGTAAAACAAACAATCAAATAAAAGGTTATTGTACATATTTACAATAGGAGCCTCTTCTGTGAGCCCCTGCGGCGGCTCTCGGGGAATACACAACTCCAAACAATTACACAAGCACTCAGACCACAAACTCCACATTCTCCAATTTTCAAAACAATCGTTTCCAAATGCGAAGAAAAAAAATGTTTGTTTTTTTTACATTCCAAAATGTCTTTTTCTAGTTTCCTCCTCCCTACTCGGTCGCTCGCTCATTAATCGGGGGCGCCCGTGGGGGGTATTTTTTACAAGACTTACGGCGTTGTCAAAGCTCCAAGTACGTGTGGCGGTAAGAGTTTCACAGAGCGAGGCTGGATTACAGACGATGGATGTGTTTACATACACACAACATGTACTCTGATATTACCGGGGAGACTCAAATATTTATTTTAGGACCTGGCGTTTGTAAATGCCACGTCGTGTTTACGATAAGTTGGATAAGCGTTGAGTATGAGCCGCTGTTAGCGGGACACTGAGCCGTGTAAACATCTCTGTTTACTGGATCGCCTTTAGGCTTTTTCTTGGTTCTTTTATTTCAAACTGTGTGAGCTGTTTGGGAGGAATAAATTCCCCACCAGGTCTTAGTCTGGGGTTGGTCGGTGTTATTCTGAAATGATCGGAGACTTGTTAGCCGTTTTTCAGGTTTGATCATTAAGTGGAGTGAGTATTAAACTAGCCTCAGCTACTTTACAACGTACCACAAAAGTACACAAATAACAGCACAGGGTATGTGTAAACCAATCATGTGACCTTCTAGTTTATGGAAACATATCCACAATCTCTCCTGACACTTCTTTAACGCACAAGGTTTCTGATCAGTGTCTGTTCTAAGTCTGTGTTAAGGAACTCCCTAGCATGTCTTTTTACAAAGAGGACGAGTCTGTTTTCAGGAACCCTTCAGTGTGTTTCTCTCAAACTAAGTTCGGTCTGTTTCGAGGAACCCTGAAGCTCCTGTTTTCTGAGCTTCAGCACACAGTTCGATGTTTGACCTTTGAGTTTGTGTTTCTTTCTAACGGGCGGTTAAGTCTCATTCAGGTGTCTTATGGAGGTTCTCAGTCATCCAGGTCATGGCATTCAAAGCTGGAACCAAAGGTCACTGGACTCGGTTGAGTCTCGTTTAGGGATCCTGAAGCGTTATCTCTCTCTCTCTCTAACGAATGGTTAGTTGTGTTTGATTAGCATCTGTGCTAAGCTTCTTTGAAGGTACCCTTTAGATTCTGTTTTATTTCTCGGGTTAGGGTTGGTTTTAAGGTACCTGCTGTAAGGTCAGTTGTCTTCATGTGGAGGTGTTCTACCTGCTTCATGTTGAGCTGCATCACTACTGGAGGCTGCTGGGACTGTCTCGTTTTTAACGGGAGGCTGTGATTGAAGATTTTTTTTCAGTTCTTGCAGCCATTTCTTTTTCATGTTTTGTTGCCTTAAAGTTTTTGAAATACTGTAAAATCTGGTGCACATAGTGAACTGCATGTGAAACACTGTTGTGATGTATAAAATGGGTGTCTATCTAAAACTTAATCGCAGACATGCACCGTCATGACATCAACTGCAGTCACCACCAACAACCACGTTGCCCGACGAGACGAAAAATTGCCCCAATTCATTTTTGTATATGTTGCGCAAAGTTGGCTGGGTTAATGGGCCAGATCTCCTCGCTTTACCACCTGGATGTAAACAAGCACAGAGACATAGCGCATCTCATAGGAGCAGCGCCGTTTGGTGTTTTGATCAACGCCTGGTATATTGACCAATGAGTAACCACATTCAGCATGGGCATGTGGATGTAAACCCGGGTGCTGCTAAGGTTAGCTTCAGTTGGTAAAGTAATCTGACATATTTCACCCGGTCACCCTGTGATCCGGTGTTAAGCTCGAATGTTTTCTTAAGTTTAGACGAGTCGGCTTGTCTGAATTGAAATGAACATTTAACCCACTTTGAGATAAGTGTTATAACATCTCTACTGTTAAAGAAAAGACAAAGACAGCAGAGGTGTGCAGCTCAACTCTAGGTGAACTGGTCGCAGGCTGTCGGTTTGACTTCACATCTATCCAGGCCGAGGGCTCGACTAGCGTACAGGTAGCTAGCAGGATTACAGACTCCCCCTGGTGGACACAGCTGGTACTCAAAGAGCTACACACTATCTGACTGTTGAGGATTTTGATGAACACGATGGAAATCATCACACAGGAAGACACTCTGAGAGACCCCCAAAAGCAACCTGAGTCTAAAATACCGCTCGACTTATATTCTGGATTTTACAGTAATGGATAAAACGTTGAAAAGACGTCTTGTGTCAACTGAGAAATCTGCAAACCACATCCACCATGATGGCCCTGCATCGGCTTTGGGTTGCACAACTTTAAGTAACTATGTGATAAGAAAGGAAAGATTCACGTCCTTCTAACTTCACGATCTGTTGGTTGACTGATTCTTAAACATTGTTCCCAAAAACTGTCCAATGGCAGCGGATCTAGAAAGTTGTGTCCAGTGCGCGGGGGATTCACAGAGCAAACTGTGTGCTGATAAATTAGACGTCATAGTCACAGTTTAATTCTTAACATGCCGTTAACTCATCATGGTCACAAACAACATGAGACATTCCTTTAGACGGTCTTTTCTCTTTTCACTTTTAAATCGAGCAACATGTGCTAAACGCAGCTCGCTCCGGCTGCTCTGGAGATGGTTACCACGGTGTGCTGCTGCAGGTCACAGGGGAAATGTCAATTTAATTTAAAGGCCACAGAATGTGTGTAAGCGTCTGTTTGTGCGATCTGAGGACAAACAGAATCACAACAACAGACGGAGTGGGGGGGGGGTGTCCAGTGGTGTGTCATCTTTTTTTTTACAAATATATTCTTCTCATTCTTACTCAAAATCAACACGTACAAACAGACCAAACGTCAAACATAGGGAGGAGAAAGTGCAAATATTTTGGCGCCGCTTCGTTTTCTTTTCTTGTTTTTTTTCAGTCTGTTTTTTTTTTTTTTTTTTTTACTCAGGAACTTCCTAATTTTTCTGCTCCATCTTTCTTTTTCCTATCAGCAAGCGTACAGATGCCTTCCCTCTGTGCCCTCTGCTCTCGTCTCAGCTTCTGGACCCGTCTCTTCTCACACCAGACGACCTACTGGGAACAGAAAGAAAGACAGACCAGGAGAAAAAAAGAAAAGAAACAAATGTATTCACTCATCTGTTTTAGTATTCAGCTAGCAGATGCATTCACACATAGCTGCAGCGTGACAGGACGGCCCTAAAACAGACTCACTTTAAATAAACTCTAATACAGTTTAAAAATAAACTCTTATCAGTGAAGCAGACGGCTGAAGCAGTGAGTCAGTAAAATCACAGATTGCTGTTGAATTCAGAGCTTTGGGTAATTATTCATTTTCCCGACATTCTTCATGTTTGTCAGAGATTCATGGAGACCAACATTTTCAGGGGACGACTTTCTGTCTTAAAACTTTATTGTTAAACCAGAAAAATTATTTTAGAACTACAGTACCCACAATCCTAGAGTGTCAGTTTTAATTTTATACACTTCATTAATCACAGAGGGGAAATTCTGATTTACATTGAGAGACATGCTTCTCACACACACAGGCCCGATACACACACACACACACACACACACACACACACACACACACACACACACAGGACATGTGTTAGTGGAGAGATGTCAGAGTGGGGCCGCTACACACTGCTACACAGGGAGCGCAACAGAGCAGTCAGGGGTTTGGTGTCTTGCTCAAGGGCACCTGGGCAGTGCTCGGGAAGTGACCTACCAAACCAACTTCCAACTATCATGGTCAGCATCGTACTTGAACCGGCAACCCTCTGGTTCCCAACCCAAAGTCCCTACGGACTGAGATACTGCAGCCCCAAATTTGTTGAGCTTGCTGTTACCATGGCAACTACAAATAGCATTCATATAAAGGTTAATATTGTCATTATAGTGTTATAAAGAGGACTTTGTTGCTTCATCCCACACTTCTGTTTTGTTCTTTTAGCGTCACATCTTGTCTCAAGAGGGGATAGTCTGGCAGAGATAGTCTCCCACAGTGAGGTGCATGTGTGAACAACCAGATCAGATGGAATTGATCTTGATATTTGTATTTGATAACAGCTGTAGATACAAATCGAATCAGCACCTGAATATCGTGAAATATCGTATGAGATGAAAGCTTATCATCCCAGCTCAGTTTTTAATTTGTTGTTATTGCTTTCTTGTTGTCCCATTTTCTTCATTAAAGTCTCTTGTACAGTGAAGCTCAGACAGATTCAGTCAGCCGTCTCCCACCTACACTTTAACTCCACCATCACATGTGCTGACGTTATGCTGCAACCGAGCTGTAACTCAACAGCTCTCTGAAGTCATGTTGTGCTCAAATTGCATGGGACAGTCTGTACGAGGGATGGACTGCTCACTCATCAATCACACGAGTGAGCGAGGGGGGCAGAGAGAGAGAGAGAGAGAGAGAGAGAGAGCGAGGGAGAGAGAGAAGGAAAGGAAGAAAGAGAGAGAGAAGGAGATGGTGAGGAGCTGAGATTGCTTACAGATGGCTGTCAGAGGGGAGCAGAGGTCCTCCAGCCGTGTGTGTGTGTGTGTGTGTGTGTGTGTGTGTGTGTGTGTGTGTGTGTGTGTGTGTGTGTGTGTGTGTGTGTGTGTGTGTGTGTGTGTGTGTGTGTGTGTGTGTGTCTGCCTTTATGATGTCTCTGTACAGTAGGTCTTTATAACTGCAGTATGTTTGTGTGTGTGTGTGTGTGTGTGTGTGTGTGTGTGTTCAGGTGCAGATGCAGGTGCACTCCCTGTCAGAGTTGGTTATGTCAGCCGTGATATACACGTCCAGCTGATATCGCTGCGCGGTCTGGAAGCTTCTCGAGACGGTGAGTTTGCTTCACAGTCGGGTTTTCTGTTCGATCTTTAAAGCGTCACGATCTCTCCGACGCTCCATAAATCTGGTTACCGTCCACATGAAGAAGTCCTGCTTCACCTGCACTTTGATTGTAATGAATAAAAGATTATGGCCACCTTGTTCTTCCATGACTAGTTTGATCTCTTCATGTTTAAAGATCGGACATTTTTATCTAAATCAATGTTAAATTCTCCAGACAGGAATGTTGTTGTAAAATCAAATGTGTTCAAACATTCCCGTGTCATATTCAAATATTGTTTGAAGTTTTATTGAAAAAAAGACATCCCTACTCTGCACTCATTGAGGTGAGGTGGGTTTTAAATCTGCTTCTCTGCGTATGTTATCGATGTGTTTTCTGTGTCTGGAGCTTTGGAGCGTTTTACAAGTCGGTTGTTATATTTCAGTTGTTGGTTGTCTTATCTGCTCGACTCACTTCTGCACCCCCGCTTTGAAACAAGACGGAGATGTTAACTCGCTCCTCCATGTCTGTACGCCTCCCTTTGTCAGCTGCTGACGCCGAACAAGAGAAGCAATTTCCAGCTAGCGCCCTCTGCTGGTTTAAATGAAGTATTGCAAGATTTTTTTTTGCCTCAATGATTTGAATCGCCCATATTTGTAAAGACGGAGTCACGCAGGTTTGCTGTGAAACCATACATGATTCACCTTGTTGCAGCCATGTGAATTACTAAGTTGCAGAACGTCACACTGCAAGTTTGATCATTTTGAAATCTTTTCCCG